ACACGTAACAACATTTCATTATCTGAAAGTAATGAAAGCTTATTATGCATTAAGCAAGAAGGGTCAGAAGTGAAAACTCTAAGTTAATACTAAAAGTTTGAAAAGACAATGTTAATGTCAACTTAGTGAAGTGAACTAACAAATGATGGTAAGAAATTAAGGTGATGATCAGTCTATTTACTTGAGCTCAAGTACAGATAAAGATGGGCAATGTGCTAAAAAATTAAAGAGGAAATTCATCATACCCAGGAAAGCAATAACAACTTAGTCATTTCTATGACAACAAGGATCAGAAAAATTAAAATAACAGCCTTTCTAGTAGCAGTGCACAGCTCTGAGAAATGACATTAGGAAACAGTGAAAGAAGATTGATCCCTTCAAACTGTTGATTTAGTAAACATACCATGGAATTTTTAAGGATTAGATGCACGTGATAAAACAACTTTTGCTATACAATCTTGACAAACAGTTTATCAAATGGTAATTAAAACCATTCTCAACTAACATACAAGTGGTTCTAGCAGACTAACAACTGAATTGGAATATATAGTTATATTTATGATAATATACACAATTTATAGGATACATAATGTGTAAATTCATTTACTTGTATTCTGCTTTATTCCTATGCACTAAGAAATTCATTATAGCAGTAATGCAGGTCTTTCATTTGAATAATCCATTATTAATAAGCAAATCTAGTAAACCGAGTCACAGGTATATATCCCTACTCTAAACATTCTGAGACTTAATTTTTTTCCAAATGAAGTACAGGTAGTCTTCAACTTACAACCATTCATTTAGTGATCATTTGAAGTTACAACAATACTGAAAAAAGTGATTTATGACCATTTTTTACACTTACAACTCTCTCGTAAAACTATTTTCTCTAGCAACTATCATGCAGCATAATACCTCTGCTTATTTAAATGGAAAGTCAGAGGACAATTTTTAAATCAATTTAAAGTGTATGGAAACATTTAAGAATAAGGAAGGGAAAGATTTCATAATAAGTTGTATATTACAATTCTACATAAGCATCAGACAGTTTTCCACATTGCAGTCACAAGGAAACCAGAAGCTTCTGCATCCATCTCAGCTGTGATTAACCGGAACAATGACTAATCAAAACAGATTATAGACTACCATTTGAAGTTGGCTAGTGTTCAGATGAAAGAGTTCAGATGAAACAACAACCACAGTCAGAAATAGAAACCAACGCTTCTTAAGCAACATCTAAACAGGTAGGAAAATGAGGTGTGAACTCACTTAGGTTTGTTATTTACATAATGTTAGCTAATGACTATGAAAATAATTATAGAATTTTAAAACTAAAATAAACTGCCATAAACCGTTGGTATGTATCATATGAGAGTCATTTTGGTGTAGTGGTTAAAGTGTCAGGCTAGAAACTGGGAGATAGTGGGTTCTAGTCCCATCATAGGCAATTCTGCTTAGTGACCTTGGACCAATCACTCTCTCAGTCTAAAGATCCCAAGATCCATGAAGAATTATGTATATTTGATAAATTTGCATATGCATCAAATATATGGTGTCTAGACAAATTTAGTGAGGAATCAATGGGTCTTTCATTTCAAGGTAGTCCTTGACTAATGACTAATTGAGCTTGGAATAATATGACAGTCATTAAGTGGTTTACCAAGTGACTCTGCCTGATTTTATAACCATTTTAGCAGCAGTCATTAAGCAAATGTGGCAGTTGTTAAATGAGCTGACTATAACCAATCTGCGTTTTTGCCAAAAAATAAAAGAACAGAAACTGGCAAAAAATGCTGAAAATCATAGTCATGTGACCATGGGATCTTGCAAATGGCTGCAAATGCAGTCCAGTTGCCAATCACCCAAAATGTGGACACAGTACTTCAGAGTGTGTGTGTGTGTGTGTGTGTGTGTGTGTGTGTCTGTGTGTAACTTTGAAACCAGGTCATAAGTAGCTCTAGGGAAGTCTGTCATAACTTCAATCACTAGGTGACCAGTCATAAATCAAGAACTACCTGTGTTTAAAACCTGACTCTTGTCTGTAACTGTAATATTCAAAACTTCAAAATTTGTTCTGGGGAAAAAGTACTCAGAAGTCTGATTGCTCTCCCCCTAGATAAAACCCATTCTGAATGTTACAGACCCACACTGATTTTCATTTCAATATATAAACTTAAGGTTTTTCTTTTCTCAAATACTTAGAGAAGTACCTGAAATTTAAATTTTACTCGGTTACTGGATGCATTACATTTTAATATATATCAGGCACCCAAAAAATAAGCTATCAGAAACAAACATTTATATCACTTTAAATGTATGTATTATGAAAAAATTGCTAAATTAGTATTCATACAAAAACTACTTATTGATTTCCAAGTTCAGAGTTGAAAAAAAATTACTTTTTCACTTTTTTTCTAAATCAGAGATGTCACATAAACCACAAATGTTCTTGACAGTACATATTCCCAATTTTAAAAGTTTTTAAATTTTAAAATAACCAGTGTTATTCTTTAAATGCAAAATGTATTAATATGAAAATATGTCCCTCTAGTGCAGGAAATACATAGTACTGTACATGTTTATGGTTGCATTGATTTCCAGGAGTTGAGAAATAATAGTATTTTACAAGTAAGAATTCTAGTTTGAAGATTTAATTCCAATAATAATTTTTTAGTTTTTTTCTTTCTGGCTCCTCAAACGTAAAATATATAAACATCTATATTTGGCAAATATATTAACAAATTTAAAATATCCATTTATGTTATGTTATCCTAAGTAGAAATATTTGTGAACATAGTTTATAAATCTAAGCCTAAATATGTCTAAATACATACATTTTTCTTAAATAAGATTGATATAAAACATACTGCATTGATTTATGTGATTCAATAAGACAGAAAGCTAAATTTCAACAAAAGAACTAAAACCTTCCATTAAATACATCTGGGTAAAAGAAAATAAGGCCAGAGGAAAGCAGATGTTATTCATGTAAATATATATTAAAGCACATTCACTTTAAAAGTTTTTTTTTAATAGATAGTTTAGTCAAATCACAGAAAGGATAGGAATTGTGAGCATTCAATTAGCTCATCTGAAAGATCAGTATTTTTGACCTATTTCTACTCCAGTTGATTATCAAAATTCCAGCCATCAGCTGCATTATATTTGAGCATTCTAAGCATTTTAGAACATTAAGAATCTGAGAAAATTAAGAACTTTTGCCTAAACTTTACATCTGTTTAAAATAAATCCTCAATCCCTTTTTCCTTTTTTTATCACATGGTAAATTTGAGAATTAGAAACAATCTGAGGTTAAAAACAACAGAAAAGCATTTTAAAAATATATTCTGAATTAAAAATTAATTTGTTTACATTGCTACTGTAAATATTTTCAGATATTGTAAAACTATATTGATTATTCAGTATTAGAAATTGTGAATTTACATATATTAAAACTACTCTGTAGAAAGTCAATAATTATTCTGAATGGTGGTTTTGGCTGAGTTTCAAAAGAAAGTACTTGTATCTATGTAAGAATTGCTTGGAAATTTCCCAACTCTGAGCTTAATAATATATGTCTGTAGATGGTGACAGTAAATATAAATAAATAACACAGTTGATATGCCCCTTTTTCCATTATATGTAATAGATCAAGGATATTGTATCTGTTCATTTACTACAGAAATCACAAAAACAAATCTTATCATTTTGCTAATCTGTGCAAATTTGACAGGAAAAACATATTTTTCCCCAAATTATTTTATTTATATCACTTCAATAAAAATGTAAGTTTTGAAATTTTTACAGAAAAAGCCTATAAAATTAGCAGAGATAGGAATACTGGGCATCAACTTTAAATGCCAATGACACAAAATATTCCACATAAGCAAATATTCCATATCATTTTAGCTCAGTATATTTCAAAAAGAGAATTTTTTAAAACCAAGTGAAAGTAGAACTTCAACTGTGCTTAATATTACAATTAATATTACAATACTGAGCATAGCTAAGAATTGTCTATATTTAATTATTTTATATTTACATAGAATTAAAATATTATTTTTAAAAATATGATTTTTACCAAGTCCCTAATTTTCAGTTAAACCAGATCATTAAGATTATCCTTCTAATATTGTTGCAAATGTTTCCAAGAAGTATCTCTTGTCCTATACAAGAACTCTATACGCCATTAAAATAATAAGAGGAAAATAAAAAGAGGTTGTCATTTCTAGTAGTGAATATTTGTAATAATGTAATGCATCCTAATAGCTGGAATGAAATCTTGATATAAAAAAAAGTGAAGACACAATACTTTGGAGTATAAATTCTCACTCCTAGACCAACCTATGCCAAAATCAAAATTACACCTGAAGTATATATGAAGAGAATTTCCATTTCTTTTAAAATGCCCAAAATATTAGCAATTAAGAAAGCACATGCCAACAAAAATTGGCCAAAATGCACATGATATTTTATCTATAAGAATATAGATTCATTCTTAGTATTTCATTCTAGACATTGACAGATTCACTTAATATGCCTAGAGTATATAGATATATATATATATATTGTTACATTTTTATACGTTAATGATCCTGAAAAACCACTGATCATGTCTAATGGCTATGAACAAAGATTTATGCACAACTAATCAATTTCTAATCACATTATTTGTTTAGAAATATTGTTTGAAAATATGTATCTTAATATTTTAAAATAAAAATATTTTTAATGAACACAGGCTGCTCATCTAAAATACTGCAAGACAAGTACACACCTTTGAAGACAATTTCCAAGGTATTTTTGAAAGCCCTGAGCCACACACCATTTCTTTAGAAAAAAAAATGAATGTGGATGTGATCCACAGAACTGAATCAAATTATTCAAATCCACCATTTATTCCTATGGACTTTATCAGAAATTCACTGGTTTAAATCCAAGTAATCCAATTTAATCTGTTTGCAGAACATGCTGTCATGTTACACCCACTGGCTACTTACCATCCGCAATGCTGAGTTGTAAGGTGGCACTGGAGAATAAGAGCACCAGTAAAAGGTGCTGCAGCAAGTCAGTCATATTTGGAGGAATCCAGCTGTGTATAGTTTAAAAAATGCTGACAGGAGGAAATCTTGTCTTCCAAGAGTCTTAATTTCTCAGTTTACAATCCAGTCTGAAAGGGCAATTGGTAAGTAAGAGGAGCTGTTTGAGCTTTTACTCCATTAAGCAAATCTGCCTTCATGGTTCAGGGCTTGGCCTCAGAAGATGTTTTTCTCAAACCGACAAGCATGTTCTTTTTCTTAAGATGATGGTCATTATTGTAATATTTAAATTAATTCCCATGTCTCTTCAGAGGGTCACCACACCACTCAGGTTTCAAATGAATCATATCCAGAGGTGAAAAGGACACACACGCACATACACAAATAATCGACTGTCACCACCAAAGGGCAGATGTAGACAGATTTAAAGGCCAAGATTTAAGATAGGGAAAACAGGATCCAAATCTTTGTGCTGTATCTTTCTTAAGGAAGGGCTATGTCCTGTCACTTAGAAATAAGTCATCTTCTTTACAGGGAATTTTAAGGGCCCATTGCCCCATTACGTGTCATCAGCCTCGAATTAAATTTAACACACTCGGCGTCCACTTGGCTTTACACGCGCATCCACACGCACGCAAGTACGCGGAAAAGGAAATAGCTCCAACCAAGGAAAAAGGCTGAAAGTCCTGGCGTTCCTATGAAGCAGCAGCAGCAGCAGCAAATCAGGGCTTCGCAGTTCCTGGCTCCGAGCAGCCCCGGCGGCAAAGAGGCCTTTCCTCTTAGGCAGCCCTTGGAAAAATGCACTTTCTTCCCGTCTGCCCGCTCCTTCCTTTCTTGGCCCCAGCGGGGAGAGGGGAGGGGAGAGCCACTTCTTCCACCCTCTTCCCTTCCCTCGCAAGAGCCCGGTTCGCCAACGGCCCGAAGCCGAGAGGGAACCCGTGACCAGCACTCCCGCGGAGGCCAAACCCTTTCGCCCTCATGCACCTTCACTCACTCACGACCCTGCCCTCTTTCCTCCACCCCACCGGGGAGTCAGCTGCCCCTCTGCCCTCCGGCTGAAGGGAACCTGCCCACGAAGGCTTCGTGCAGGGGGATTCTCAACGTCGCGTCGCCTCCCCGCCTCTGGCAGCTGGGCTTGGCTGGCTGGCTGGCAGCGGCTCCCCTTTTCTCAGTCCAGACACAAAGGGGAGTAGCTGCTAAACTGCCAGTCTGAGCGCCTGGCCCGTGGGCGCCGCGAAGCCCCGCCCCGCCCTAGCCTGCTGCTGCTGCTGCTGCTGCTCCGCTCCACCCGTCTGCTGAGCTCGAACTCGCCCTCCTTCCTTCCTTCCTTTCCTTCCCTTCCTTCCCGGGACCCCTCCGATCCTTCGCGCGCCGGTCGACGCAGCCTCTGGGTGCCTCGGGCATAGAGACGGCTCTCCTGCCCGAGCTAGAGCGACCCCCTCAGCCGGCCGAATCTCGCGGCCGTCGCTCGAGGCCTTTCCTGTGGAGTTGCGGGAGAGCCGAAGAAGAGGGGCCCGGCAGAAGGTTCTCTGCGCCCCTCCTGCACCGCCATGTTGCCAAGAATTGCTAGTTCGGCGGCTCGAGCCCAGCTGCGCGAGGGAGGGGAGCGGGGAAGGAGGCGAGGGAACGTTGGCTTCTTTCTTGTTCTGACGACTGCCGCCGCCGCCGCCCGGTGTTTTGCTTTATTTGCTGAATCGCTCGTGGTCTTGGGAATGCTTTACGGCTAGCGAAGCCAAGATCAGCAAATAAAATAAATGCTCGAATTGGGCGCATTTTTATACGTCGGGAGTAAAGCCTTAGTCCCTTCAAACGATTGATTGTAACAAGCTGTGTTCTGTCTGGATAAAGCCCTTCTCGGCCTGTTTTATTTAGGGAAAGCGAGAGAGAGATACGTGCAACCAGAATATTACTGTAGTTCAGAAAGGTGAGCAGAGGTGGAAGCTTTGCATTTGCTTTTTGCAGTGCTTCTCAATACCTTTAAGATGTGCAGATTTCAGTTCCCAGAATTCCCTGGTCAGCATGCTGGCTAAGGAATTCTGGGAGTTGAAACCTGCACATCTTTAAAATTGCTGAGACTGAAAAAAAAAAAAAGTAGGACTTCTGGGAGTTGAAGTCCACAGGTTGTAAAAGGGCCACATTTGCGCACCCTGGTCTAAAGTAGTGGTTCCCAATGTGAGGGGACAATTTGAACCTTGTTTAAACCTTCTAGGCTTCCTCCACGGAAGTAGGAGTTGACTTTTTGAATAGTAAGAATTATATATCACAGGCATATCAGGATTTTAGAGATGCTTAGGTGAGGCATGGCCAAAATAAGGTTGGGAACCACTGGTCTAAAAAAAGGATGGCAAGTGCCTGTAATGGCATATGGAAAAGATCTGGGGGGGGGGGGAGAATGCTGCCTAGGGAACATTTAGTTAAGAGAAGAGGGCACCTAGCCTGCAACTGGATGGTGGGCAGAGCAAGAGGCTCAGAAAGGAGCCTCCCTATTGTAGTTTCTCAGACTGTAAAAGAGATGGTGGGAGGCTTGTACTTTCAGATTTGTAAGATTCTGTTAATATTGCTTTACAATAAAGTATAATTAGTTTATCTGCTTGTGTTGCCTATGTGGTCTACCTGGTAAGACTGACAGCTCCCATGGTTAAGAAAGATAAAACCCAAGATAACAAAAGTGATAGGGGTTTTGTTTTTAACATGTAATTGTAAAAGAATGATAAGCAGTTGAGAGGTTTCAGAATATCTGCCCTTATTTTTCATGGCTGAGAGTCCAAATAGGGTCCCACACAACAACCTTCAGTTACCGGTTTCTTCTGCTGAAATAGCCTGGAAAGGAATCCAGCTTAAGAAATAGTTGTGTGGGTTTCAAACTATTCCTCAGCTTTTGTAAACCATGTATGTACGTGCAGAACCTGTTTGCTGTGGCATTCCCTGTACTTGGTGGCCTTGATTTATATTCAGTAGAGTTTGCTTGTGATACAAAGCTTGCCACCTTTCTCACTTCTATTTTGTGTGGTTTTTTTTAATATCTATGGTCATTCAGCTTATAACTAATTAAAAATACCAAGACTCCCTATTAGTAAATACTGTATCAAAAGTGGGTTTTTTTTTCAAAAGGCAACTAGACTATGTTTTTGCCTTTGGGAAGAAGTCATTTCACTTCTCATCCAAGAAGCTTCATCAGTTCTGAGTGGATGGTGGGAGCAATTGAAGGATTAATTGAAGGATTAATTCTGACAGGATGCTGGGGGGGCGGGGGGGAGGGAAATGGAACGATTATTTTTTTTGCAGTCAACTGGTCATTAGCAGTCTCTTGGACCCGTTGAGGCCACTTGGGGGTTTATCTGTGCCCCCAAGGTTGCTTCTTTACTGCTTTCCACACTGCTGCCCCATAGAACCATCACTTCTTTCCACCGGAAAGTCTTTGAGGACATGTGGTTTTTATGATTTTGTATAAATCCCTTTCTGTTGACTCCCTCTGTTATTTGACATCATCTTCATCCACTAGTAGACAGTGAGGAGAAAACGTTTTCCTATTCCTTCTGTCACATGACTTGGAGGGCAAATACTAGAACTGTCAACATTTCACTTGATTTAAAAGAGGGAGAAAGGAAAGAAGCATGCCTTAATTGGAACAGAGACAGATACCCAATAGAGACAGATACCCAAGAGGTATTTGTCTACAGTGAAGCCAAACAGGCAGACCCTAGCCCCACTCTTGCTGACAAAAGATGGGAAATGCTACTTTTGATGCAGATCAAGAAAAGAAGATGGGAAGATGCTTTTACAATAGAAGCAGAGCAGGCTGAGGTGTTGTGCATTCTTGTCCTCAAGCAGGAACAAGGAGGACAGGATGTGCAGAGGAGCCCATAGAGCAGTGATGGTGAACCTTTTTGGCATTGCGTGCCAAAAGTCTGAGCGCGTGAGCGCTATCACGCTCCTGCGTGCCGGAACCCATAATGCAATGCGCGCCCCCCTTTACGCATGGGTGCACGACACCCCCCACGCTCCCTCTACACATGTCCCCACACTGCGCATGCATGCCCCCCCCAATGCGCCCCCCCCACTTTTTCCAAGTGGGCCGGCATACCTCTTACCAGAGGACAACTAGGTACCGGCCCGTTCCCTGGTGAGACAGCTGTTCCCCGCCCGGTGCATGGTGCTGCCAAGATGGTGGGGCCGGAAGTGCCCCCAAGGAAGATCTGAACGTACGGATTGCCTGGGCTCCTTCCCACTGGGAGCTGCAGGCCGAGCAGGTGGTGGACGGGGACTGGCTGCACCTATCGCCACCTAAGTAGAAAGCCGAAAGGGGCATCCCAGATGCGTATACTGCCCTCAGCGCTTCCCTGACACCTGCCTGCTACCACTGACACTGAGCACTCGGCAGCTGGAAAAAACAGGAGCCACCACATTCGCCCAGCTCCGCCCCGCAATTCTGCTCAGCTCAAGTTCATGGAAATCATGTGGTGGCCCTTGAAACTGTAGGAGGGAACTGGCTCTGAGACCGGGAGGCAGCCTTTGGCGGAACCAGCCCGATGGGGAACTGAAAAGAGAGGGGCTTTCCCCTTCTTCCGCCTTGCTTGTAGGCTGTGGGGTTTGGGGTGGTTCTAGAGCCAGAATTTGCTTGGCTGATGATCGGACAACTCCAAAGTTTCCTGGTGTTCGTTCTCTTGCCTGTCTTCTTTCCCTGTTTAAAAGAGCCATGCTTGTAGGGGGGGGGAGATCTGACTAAAGAGCTGTGCTTTAGCTGTGCTAAAGAGCTGCCTTCCACGATCTCCAAAGTTCCTCCCCCATCGAATCCTAGCTTTCTCCTGCCTTCTCCGATCTCCAAAGTTCCTCCCCCATTGAATCCTACCTTTCTATGCCTTCCACGATCTCCAAAGTTCCTCCCCCATCGAATCCTAGCTTTCTCCTGCCTTCCATGATCTCCAAAGTTTCTCCCCCATCGAATCCTAGCTTTCTCCTGCCTTCCACGATCTCCAAAGTTTCTCCTCCGATTGAGTGCCTCCTGCCTTCCATGCCTCCTCAGATCTTTGCAGTTTTTCCCCCCCTCGCGTGCTATTTTTCTCCTGCTTTCCTGCCACGGAGAGGCATCTGCAGAGGGTAGAACCTGCAGAGATCGGGCAAGGGCCTGCCTCTGTGCATGCGTGGCAGAGACTGGAAGACCAGCTGGCCGATGAGAGGTGCGCGCATGTGCGATGGACCTGAGCTGGGGTGATGGCTGGCGTGCCGGCAGAAAGGGCTCTGCGTGCCACCTGTGGCACGCGTGCCATAGGTTCGCCATCATGGCCATAGAGCATGTGACTGAGTTTTTAGATTCAGATCTGCTGACAAAATTTATAGACTTTGGAGTGTCCTATTTCATTGCTCAGCCCAGTTCCTCTCTACATCCCTGCTGTGGTAGTCCCAGCTATCACCTAGGGTTTTGAAGAAAGAGAGAAACAGAGAGTAAAAGAAAAACACTTCCCCTTGGCAATTGGGAGAACTCTTCTGTCTCTGGAGTCAATTTTTTTTTCATGTATTCAAATATTTTCTGTGCCTGCTGATGGTTGAACTAAATAAGGTTTTGTGATTAAAATTTTAGAATGGAAATTATAGTGAACTTTATTCATTTAATATGGCTTTATGGGATTGATGACCATTTAGTAAGAAAATTATTTTGTGAAGAACACATTTTTGAAGTAATGATTCTGTTGAATATTAGGCAATTTAGAGAACAACATGGATATGATTTTTACAGCAAATACATTAAAATTAGTGAATGAAAGAGCAGATGGAAGCTTTTGCACAACTTTATCTGGTGCATCAGTTGTGCCATTTCCTAGATTGGACAGGCTCTTTAGACCCGTCTGGTCATACGTGTGTGCATCACATGCACGCTTGGATCCTCTGCGCATGCACAAATCCTTCTGTGCATGCACAGAGGGTAAAAAACAGGTTACTTCCTGGTTTTAATGACAACTGGGCGGGAGGGCGGAGCCTCGTGTTGCCATCGCTACTGGTTCTCCGAATCACAAGCCACCATCGCTACTGGTTTGGCCGAACCAGGAGCATTTCACCCCTGCTTAGGACCCCACCATTTTATAATTCAATTTATACCACACCTATTGTTGATTCATACACACACACACACACACACACACACACACACACAGCGCATATACCTGTGTGTTCATGCTTGCTTAGACATAATATTTAATATGTTATTACGTAATCTTTTTAGTAATTTACTCAAAATTGTTTTAAAATCCTTGTTTTCATTGTTTAGCAATAGCACTAGCACTTAGACTTATATACCGCTTCACAGTGCTTTACAGCCCTCTCTAAGCAGTTTACAGAGTCAGCATATTGCCCCCAACAATCTGGGTCCTCATTTTACTCACCTCGGAAGGATGGAAGGCTGAGTCAACCTTGAGCCTGCTGAGATTCAATCTGGCAAACTGCTAGCAGCCAGTGATAAGCAGAAGTAGCCTGCAGTACTGCGCCACCACGGCTCTTATCTTTACCTTTAGGGTGGTTTTATTATAAGTTTGTATTTTATAATTTTATAATTCACATTTATTGCATTGTAATGAACAATTTCCTTTTACTGATACTAGAAATGTTTATAATTTTTAATTTGAACCTTGTAACTTTTTAGTCTTTATTGTTACTAGTCTGTAACAATAAAGACTAGATTTCTGGGCATAAACATTCACTTAATACATTATTATAGTTAATGATGTCAGCCCTTTGAGGTAGATTGGGGAGCTGGATGAAAGCTAACTATTGCTTTAACAATGACCAAAAAAAATCATTGGTGCAATCACCAAGGGAGAAGTTCAGCTTGAGGGTCTCATTATTATGATTTTATGATGATGTGTAACATCTAATACTTAGATGGAAATAGAGAGTTTATTTCTTTTTATATACAGATGGTGCTGTTATTCTTACGTACTGAAAATCCCCATAAAATGTAATTCTGTACAGCTTTGTATCAGTTATGATCCCTGGGTGGAACGATGGAGAATGATTCATTTTGCTTAATTAACTCCTTAAGTATTGTTTTTTGTTTATACCCAAAGGATATTAGAAGTCCTGGCAAGACATTGAGTTCCACCCATATTTATAATTTCCTTTCCAATTTTTTTAGTACGAAAATGTTGACAAATTCCATTAACAATTATTATTGACAAATTCCTTTAACGCTGTTCACTCGCCAATCTAAAGTTTTGTATCAAAAATCTTGGTTAAGATTATTTTTATCATCAGCAGAAGAAAAATAATTTATGCTCAATAAATATTAAAATCAGTTTAATGCAACCTCTAATATTGATTAAATAATGGACAGAAAACCCTATTAAGATTTTTAGCCAACTAAATTTAGATGCTTCTGCTTTAGGCAATAAGATCAACGGAATCACAGTCACAAGCATTTTGCTGTATTTAAAATATCTAGACCAATGTTCCCACATCCCCTTCTTTGCTTTCTCATCATTCCTCTTATTCCTACAGGAAAGCAATGACATATATGTACTATATCACTTCCATACTGTGTACAGACACTTCATGGAGTTAAATCATCAATTAGCTTAAAAATTTTACCTTTGGAAATCAGAATGCACAGAGGAAGACATGCACAATGTCTACATCTATTATTGCTCCTCTCTGGAGACCCACACATGGTCTCCTCTCACAAACACACATCCTCTTTCATTTGGAAGAAAGAGGCATACAGTATATGAAGCTTTCATTTTCCTTCCACTGAAACAGATGAAACTTTCAGAATTGCTTCAGTGATTTAGAGTGTTTTCACTGGGAGCAAAGGGAAGGTCTTCACTACCCTTTCAATGAAAGATGGTCCTTGTAGCTTACCAAAAGGAAAATTGGAGATTTATTTATTTGTATCCCACCTTTATTATTTTTATAGATAACTCAAGGTAACAAATATATTCAACACAACTTCCTCCTCCTATTTTTCCCACAATAACAACCCTGTTGTGAAGGGATGAGAGAAAGTGACTGGCCCAGGGTGACCTAGCTGGTTTTCATGGCTAAAATGGGACTACAACACACAATCTCCTGCTTTCTAGCCTAATGCCTTAACCACTGGAGCAGATTGGCTCTCAAAGAGGATTGTGTGCCTTGTGCATGTAAGTTCCTGACCTATGATGCTACGCATTATTTACCTGAGACAGCAAAATATCTTCCATTAGCACTGGTAGCACAGGTCAAAAGCTGGCACCAAATAAGTGTAATTGATGGCACCTTTACCTTATTTTAACTTTGGCCTGAGAGTCAGAAAAGTATGGGGAAATGATATTGAGAAAGCTACTTTACATTCAGTCAGGCAAAGAACATATAGATAGTCCGTGTCTTACAATGGTTCATTTAGTGCCTGAAGTTGCAACGGCACTAAGAAAAATGATTTATGACCATTTTTCACTCATGATCATCGCAGCATTCCTGTGGTCATGTGATCAAAATTCAACTGACTCGTATTTTTGATGGTTGCAATGTCTCAGGATCACGTGAAGACCTTTTGTGACCTTCTGACAAGCCAGATTCACTTAACAACCATGTTATTAATTGAACAACTGCAGTTATTCACTTAACAAATGTGACAAGAAAGGTCATAAAATGGGGCAAGTTTCACTTAACAATTGTCTCATTTAACAACAAAAATTTGGGGCTCATTTGTGGTTGTAAATCAAGGACCATCTGTATGTTCTTCAAATGTTGCTGAACCACGTTTCCCTGTAGATGGTCAGGCTGTTTGGAACTTCTGAGAACAGTAAGATTTAGTGAACAATTATTGCCCAACACTGTTCTGTAGTCACTGGCAGTTTCAACCGGGTTTTTCCTCAGCTCTGTCTTTTGCATGCAAATCTGGTCCAGACCTACAATATTTTGTACTGCATGGCAGCACAACATTTATACAATACTTGAGTCAGACTAAAAGATGTTTAAAATTAGAAAACACATTGATTTTTCTGGGATTTGGGTTTGCATGCATATGTTTTAAATTATTTCATTCCTTCTAGTAAAGTTGAACAGCCAGCTAAATATTCTGAAAGATTTTTATGTATTGCTGAAATAAATATTGATATAATTGTAGAATGAAATTAGGAACTATCAGAAATTATGAGAAGATAGAGGTTTCTTGTTTAGCATTCTGGGATTATAAATGTTAAAGTCTTCGTTTAGATATGTTTTTTTTGGAGTGATCTCAGTATTTTCTAAATTAAAACAGACTGTTTTAGGAATATAATTTTTTTCAGTTTTGAAACTATTCCATAAATTATTATGGTTTGTTTTATTTTAACTTTAATCAATAAGTAGTAATTTCACTTTATTAAGTAGATTATTTTATTAGACACCTTAAAAGACATTAAAGATATTAAAAGCATATGATTTAATGTAATTATTTATAGTAATGTTGTATAAGGGTCCTTAAGAGAAATTCACAGCACCTTGCAGGCTATTCTGGTAAAAATTGGGGGGAGTTTTTTTTCTTAGTAGGGTATTTGTCAGTCTTTATTTATTCATTAAGTTCAATAATATCAAGAACATTATTTAATCAATTTAATTTTCTGAAGGAAAATGTTATATTTTTAATATCCTTGGCTAGGTTTTTTTTACATTTTAATTGCATCAGTATCTATAAATATATATAATGACACAAACTTTTATTATACACATATATAGTTATCATAATTCATTGCAAAGTCATGATTAGACCTAATTTATTCCTTTAAAATATCACAAAACACAAGAATCACTATTTGCTACTGTTTATACCGGACTATGCTGCAATTATTTTTAGAATAATTTCTGAAACAAGGAATTATTTTGCCCATCACTTTGTTAGAAAAAGTCCATTGAGGCATTAATTCACAAGTTATAAAATTATAGGGGAAATTGTATAAAAATGAAAACCAAATGTATACATATTTTTATATTTTTGCTATTAATTAAAACTGAGAAGTAGGCCAGATATGTGAAGCGTATGCATATTCAAAGTACTACATAACCTCATATTTATTGGGGACAGAATTGCGCTGGTTTACTGGTGCTTGTTTCCGATATTGTAACTTCCAGTCATTCTGTCAGTTTGCCTTGAAGTGTGAAGAGCACATGGTATCTGTTTATCAGTGTTCCTCCAAGCAATCTCTCTTCACAAAATGAGAATCATAAGCAGAACCATTCAAATGTTGGAAGGTTGCCTGCATTATAAAAACCTCTTTGATAGTTATTCTAAAGCAGGCCATCCAAGCCGCAGCCCAAGGACCACATGTAACACTAGATAGCTAATATTGCAGCCAGATAAGATTGTAAACTATTAACATTATTATGTAATTTATATAAATTGATGATTTTATATGCAGCTCAAGACAATTCCTCTTCTCTCAGTGTGGCCCAGGCAAGTCAAAAGGATGGACACCCATGTTCTAAAATATCACATTCTTTCCTTGAAAAAGCAGATATTTGAGTTCATTAAAACCTAAAGTCAAACTCCCTGTATAAATAATTTTAAGGCTAAACTAATCAAACATTTGCTCACAGATCTACAACTCATATATTTATAGTTATAAAGAACTGAGATTTTACAAGCAATACTGGCTATATTTCTAAGAATTTTTATTATTCTCTTGATGGCATAATGTATAATTAGCTAGCTCTGACCATAAATACATATACCCCTCAACTTACAACTATTTGTTTAGTGACTGTTCAAAGTTATAACACTAGTGAAAAAAGTGACTTACGACCATTTTTCACACTTGATCACTGTCGCAGCATAAATACATGCCAGTTGACAATTGTAACCTGGCCACTGGCATGTATTTATAACAGCTGCAGTATCCCAGGATCATGTGATCTCCTTTTGCAACCTTCTGTCAAGCAAAGTTGATGGGGAAACTAGATTCACTTTAAAACTTTGTTACTAACTTAACAACTGCAGTGATTTACTTCATAACTGTGACAAGAAAGGCTGTAAAATGGGGCAAAATTCACTTAACTGTCTTGCTTAGTCATGGAAATTTTGGGAACAATTGTGGTGTACATCAAGGACTACCTGTAAAGTAGGGATTGGAAATATCTGCTTCAGGTAAATGAAGACCAAGTGGAGATAAATGAAGTTGGCAAAAGTTAAAAGCAGGAAATGGGATAGAGCCGTGATGGTGAACCTATGGCACACATGCCTGAAGTGGCACATGGAGCCATGTTGCCTGGCATGCACAGCGTCGTTTGTTCCTCTTCTGGGTTTCTGGCGTGCATGTGCATGCGACGATCAGCTGGCCTTCATGTGTGCAGCAGTGCCGGAAACTGGAAGAGCTAGTATTCTGTTTTCCTGCGTGATCATGCGTGCCGGCCAGCTGATCGTTGCACGCACATGCGTGCCAAAAACCTGGGAGACTAGCTGGCCGGTGCGCATGTGTGTGCCAGAAACAAGAAGTTGATTTTCAGGCATGCGCATGTGCCCTGGGCAGTCCTCTTACGGGTTGCGACCCAGAAAAGCGTTTGCTCCTTTTTCAGCACTTGGTGCCAAAAAGGTTCATCATCACTGAGATAGAGTGTGGGATGTAACAGTTGCAGCTCAGTCTTAAAAGGATATTAAGAACTTCCTGCTTATGTGGAAAATCTAATATATGCTGCTGCAGAAAGTAATGTCTGTATCAGGAATGAGCAATCGTCTGTCTTGTCAGATTAATGTTTAATGTTTATTCATCGAAGGAAAATTACAAATTTGAACAAGCAAAATGAATACAATTTAATTGTCAACAGATGATAGGCACATTAGTGCCTTTACACATGCCCCCTTAAGGACCGCTTAAATATGGGGTGAGTTCCACAGAAATTGGAATTAAAACTATGAAAGTAAGATAACTGAATCAGGTAGGATATTCCAAACTTTGACAACACTATTAGAAAAACATTTTTTTACAATCAAGTTTAACATGGTTTACATTAAAGCAATTATTCACATGTGTATCTTACAATTAATACTAAAAAAGTCATTTACAAGCAAAACATTACTATGTACAATTTTTTATGCAATACCTACGTCCAGTGATGAAATCCAATTTTTTTTACTACCGGTTCTGTGGGTGTGGCTTGGTGAGCGTGGTGTGGCTTTGTGGGCATGGCAGGGGAAGGATACTGCAAAATCCCTATTCCCTCCCCACTCCTGGGGAAAGGATATTGCAAAATCTCCATTCCCACCCTACTCTGGGGCCAACCAGAAGTGGTATTTGCTGGTTCTCCAAACTGCTCAAAATTTCTGCTACCGGTTCTCCAGAACCTGCTGGATTTCACCCCTGCCTACATCTAACTACAAGTATCATAGTTCTAAGCTTGAAACCTAATAGCATAGAATATTCTATTATGGACAGAAGAGTGCAAAACTTTTCATGTAAAGTACTTCTGAACTCACTTGATTATATTAATATCCAATATATGGTAAGGATTTCGAACAGTGAAACAATATTCTAGGATCTCTTTTGTAAGCTCTAGTGAGCAATACAGTATTTCCAGAAAAGAAACTTCATAAAATTAAATTTACAACTGTTAGTGCTTTTTCGGTGGTGGGATTCAAAATTTTTTACTACTGGTTCTGTGGGCATGGCTTGATGGGCGTGGCAGGGGAAGGATACTGTAAAATTTCCATTCCCACCCCACTCCAGGGGAAGGTCACTGCAAAATCCCCATTTCCTCCCAATCAACTGGGACTTGGGAGGCAGAGAATAGATGGGGGCGGAGCCAGTCAGAAGTGGTATTTACTGGTTCTCCAAACTACTCAAAATTTCTGCTACCAGTTCTGCAGAACTGATCAGAACCTGCTGAATACCACCTCTTGTGCTTTTTAGCAATGCTGTTTCAATGAACTTTAGAACATAAGTCATTGAAGATGAGTACATCTAGATCCTTAGCAAAATAAAGGTCATCTGCTAGATCAGTACCATCTAACTTATACTTTACATTCTGGTTTTGCTTTCCAATATGTAAAATAAGCATTTCTTAACCAACCTGAAGTTACCAAATAGATGACCATTAATAAATGACTACTAAAAACATAGTCAATGTCATTTTACAAAATAAGTGAATTTTCTGTAGTATTAAACAATTTATATCATCAATAAAGAAGACACAATTTATTTTAAGTTGATCAAATAAGTCATTTATCTACTTCATGTATTACTAAAATTCCAAAATCTGTCCTAACCCTAACCTTCAAAGATAAAGAAACTACCTTCTGAGTGCACTCTCTCTGACCATTCCACTGGAAAGTTCTGGCATTTCCAAAAGGCTGATTTACTTTGGCTTCTCCTAATTCCGGGCAGTGCCATAGATCCAACCCTGCTACGCAACATAGAGAAGCAACCATTCTGAAGCAGCACTGCAAATGAAGGAAGGAGAGGATATACAATGGCAAGAATTGGTGCTTAAATTATTCAAGGCTTTTCAACTGTTGGCCTAGCTCAGGGGTTTGCAACCTTAAACATTCAAAGAGCCATTTCACCCATTTCCCACAGAAAAGAAAACACTGGGAGCCACAAAACGCTTCCCGTGCCTGACTATTTCTTGAGCGGCTGCAAAACTAGCATATGTAGTTGAATTAAACGTTCTGTTTTCTTCTGAAACTTTACTTTTCTTGGATTTATCTATAGTTGGCCTACCAGGGGTTGAAAAGCTCAATAAATCGTGTGCTAACGGGTGTCGCATATTGGCGGTTGTGACGCATATTTTGAGTGACAGGGAGCCACAGCAGAGGGGTGAAAGAGCCACATGCGGCTCCAGAGCCACAGGTTGCTGACCCCTGGCCTAGCTGGAGATGAATTCATAGGCATCATTTGGACTTTATTTCAATCAAGCAAATAACTTTGGCAGGCACTATCATCAAGGAAGTATCACTCACAAATTACCCCTTCAAAAGGGATTGGTAAATTTATAAGATAATCACATCTTGAAGGTATTTTCTATATAGATAGTGACTGTGAAACACCCTCCCTTTTTTTTTAATAGCTTGATTGATAGCTGCCTTCCCTCAGAACATATGGGAAGTTCTTTTAAAACCACCAAGTCCTAGAGTTGTTCCCATTTGCTACTTGTAAGTACATAGAAAATGAGATTTCTTCTCCACCTAAGGAATGTGCTTTGCCACATTAATCTGCTGATCAATGCAAAGCTTGTCTGCTTCTTCGTATCTTGAATAAATTGATGTTTAAAATTCTAACTCATATCATTCATCAGTTTCAGTCCTTCATGTATATATAATACACAATACATATATATGTGTATATATATTTCTGTGCAGGTACATGTGTGTGCATGCACATATGTATATCAGTGATATCGTGCCTCTGTTGCCTTACCCCAGTTACACTATTGCTAAAGAATGCAACATATAATCTGGCAGATGTTTCCGATTCCCATTGTTTAATATGTAATGTCCCAACGGATATTTAACACCCATTTCCCTGAATTTCATTGTTAGAGGGATGACTTCTTCATCTTTGGGCTAAATTTAGCTATCCTTTCAAGCTCAATACCAGGCTTCCTGAGTCTGAATTCTTGGAACTGTAGTCTCAGCACGTCTAGAGAATGCCAAGTTGGAGAAAGTTAATGCTTCTGAATGCAAGCTGTGCTTTGTGTTTTTGTTCTCCATGCTTTGGAACATAGGTGATCGTCCTTTACAAGTCTCTTTGCCTCTATCACACTTTCCCTCTCTGCACTGGACCTGCTATTTTAAATTGTTGACCTTATTCCACTCACAATTTCCTATTATATGAATCTTCAAATATTCAGAACGTGCATTATGATCAACTTGTAATGAGAACACCCATCCCGGACTTACACTTCTTGTTTTGCCCTTTAGTCCTCTTTCTTAAAATCCCACTGGAATCTGCCCCCAGATAAAACCAAATGCTCTTGGGTGTGTGTGGAAAATCTTTGGCAATGAAAACCTTAATCTTAGAGCAACAGAATGCAATTTTATATCAAGAGAAATGTAAACATTAAGAAATATTTATTTCTGGAGATAACTAAGAGAACTGTGTGTCTTGTATTGGAAGCACAAAGGATCACGAAGCTTCCCTCCAATGATACTGTTTGATGAACAAACTAAGCTTTGCTAAAAGTGAAATATCGGGACTTTATTCTATTCCCCTCCAATCAGACCCCAGGATATAACAGGGTTTAAGCTTTGATTTTAATATTTACACCATGCATTTTTATATGTAACTAACACAGAGGAACAGAATTGCAAAATCAGAAAGTGTTGTTGGCTAGATAGGAGACATGGGTATTCTGCTGAAAAATCTTGCAATCTCTTTCTGTTGATATGTGGCAAATGCTTATCCAGGTCTTCATGACCTCCAGGCAGCGGCAGTGGAATTTCAGAAAGTGATTGTGTCCAAATAATCAGCTACTGTATTTTTCTACAAATATAAGGCATGAGAGAGGATTTTTAAGGCTATGTTCAGCTGGTTATTTCTAAGGAGCAGAAAAGGCAGCTGCTCCACAACTATTTTCTATGAGCCTTGATCCAGTTTCAGTAGATTGAATGTTGAACATTTAATACAGAAGCAAATTGGTTTAGTTTCAATGAAAGGTCTTTGTCAAGACCTTTCATTGACCTTTCAATGAAAGGAGAATATACTCTTGTTTTTTAAAAGTCTCTCAGAAATTGGAATAAGCATTTTTTATGAATAATTATTAAAATTTATACCCCAGTTCAGATCCCTATTCAGCCATGAAGCTAGCACTGAGCTTTTGGCTGTCATTGCCATTACAAAACAGAAAATGGGCATTGTTCTGTGGAGAAAAATGAGATAGAAGTTGAATATTTATGAATAGGATTGCTTTCTCAAGAAGGATTAGGCCCATTTCTAAATGCTATAATAAGAGCAAGCAATTATGAGCATATGTGAACAGACTTTCTGAGGTCAACCTTTCCTGTCACCTCAAAGGTAAATCTTTGACATGGAGTCAAGGCAGCGTATTCCACAATTCATGCAGTACAAGTGGTGATGAGACCAATAGATATATGAGACATTTGGCAACCCTTACAGTTCTGAGTTCTCTTACCCAGTTCAGATAAAAGTAATTCAAGGATCAAAGCTATATTCCCAGAGCTTAAGGGATGATCTGCTCTTGGTTCTGTAACAACTTTTGAGTATTCTCTTCAAGGTTATCTTCATGTCTCTTTACATTATGGAGTGGGGTAGTGGGGTGCAAAAAAGAAAAGAAATAGTAAATAAGCATCTAATTTGAAATCAACTTTTTCTGATATAAAATTTTACTTTAAAAAATATAATTTCAGTGGTTTGCTGGAGCTGGTTTGCATGGTTTACCCATCTCTAGCTGTGTTGCATATTGCCAGCAATAGAGCTGTGAGAGCTGATTCTTAAACATATACCAACACACCATTGGGTAGAATGCATAAAAGCACAGTTGTCATAATCTTATTCCTGAAAAATATAAATTCTCGTGCTCTTAAAGACAAGCATATAGAAGCTATTAAACTGGATGGTCCCCACATTCTCTGGTCATTTTCTTAATAATTGCAAATATGATCACAGAACATTTGAGAAGCACTGGGCTAGAGGCTATGGGAAACCAATGCTTTGTAACTTGCAATGTCTTCCATTAGTAAACATTTTATGAGCAGGCAAGCCTAATCCAATAGCTACTTTACATGCATGCTCACAAATTCCTAATGTGCCAGCTCAAAGCGATCCTTTTTCTTACAATACACTTCTTGGTTTTATTCATTATTAGTTTAAACAATTTTACTAGGTTCCAGCTGGACAAGTACTGTACATTCTTGTGAACGCTATGCATTCCTTGTCCCAAAACTAACAGATCTGGAAAGTTGGAGAAGGAGAGAGTGGTTGTCAGTCAATTCCCAGGGTTGGTTTTGCTGCTCTCACAACAGCAGGCAAAGTTGACAGAATCTAAACCAGTGCCAGGGGGGAAGAAAAAAAAAGACTGGAAGGGAGCATGAGTCAAGGAGCACGCAATCAGCCTCCTTGCTGTCCACAGTTGGGTGTTAGCACTATGGAAAGCAGATGTTGTGCCAGAAGGAGACAGCTTTTTGCAAGGGGGAGGGGAGGAAATACTTTAAATCAAAAACACACATCCTTTTCTCTGTGTGTCTTTTCCTAGAGTAGCAGCTAGTAATATAACAATGAGTTCTGCATCCCTGTGATTTCATCATCTGAAAACATCACACACTCCCAGGAACTATGAGATGGTTCATATAATCCCCTTTTAGATTATGATTTGATTTCAGACTTCAGGAAAACCAAGATTCCTGCTTGGAAGTCTGAGTTGTCTTCTGTACTTGTTTAAACAACTATGGGAACAACTGTTTTTATTCGTTCTGGCAAACAAGAATTCAGCAACAAGAACTTAGCACAACAGACAAACCCCAAAAATATTCCTGTTACAACTACGTTCCATCTCCTTCCTCTCAAGGATTAAATCAAGGACCTTTAGCATGACTCACTGATTGACTGCTAAAAGATATAGTAAATGAGGAGTGGTAAGGATGGGGATACATACATCTAAGTGTCTCAGTAAACCCTTCCTGACCACCAGTAGCGGAAATTTTGAGTAGTTCGGAGAACCATCAAATACCACCTCTGGCTGGGCCCAGAGTGGGGTGGGAATGGACATTTTGCAATATCCTTTCCCTGCCACCTCTACCAAGCCACACCCACAGAACCGGTAGGGAAAAATTTTGCATTTCACCCCTGCTATAATGATAGTCTCCATTTTTTGCAGAAAATGTCAACCAGTCTGCACCCATACTCATTGCTTCCAACCTGGCTAACAGTTGTGCTCCCCCTCTGAGCTTCCAGAGACTATCAATTAACACAACTACTTTCACTCACACTATCAAAAGAAAAGGACTTCCAGGCATTTCCCATCACTGTTGCTGCCTCGTCCATGTAATATTCTGTGTGTAATGTCTACATTTTTCCAGGGATGGGTAAAATACTGTTTGCGAAAGGTTGCCCTGTTGTGCAGTGGTGAGGGAAGATTGTTGGTAGAATTATGTAAATAGATACATTTAAAACCCTTTGTGGTTGTCATGGTAGCAAGCCTGCACTTTGAGAGCTTCAGTAGCCCAAGTTTTGTAATTGGCATGGTGGCAAATGAGCACTGAAATCCTTTGCATTTTTGATATCCTTCCCCTATCACAATGGCGAATGAGAATAATGAGACTGAAAACAATTACATCTAGCAAACACCAGGATGTTAAATGTTGCTTGTGGTTGCTATGGCTATTCTGATTTCATATGGAACTGAAATGGTTAAATTGAATATGGTAAAAATTCCTTCCAATGGATGAAGATATTCTTTTGTAGATGCTGAAACTTCCCCATGTTCTAACTGTTGTACTAACTGTTGTACTAACAATTTTTAACAGTATAATTTTTAAAATTCTATTCTATTTCAGAAAAGAACTGGGAGTGAGGAACATACATTGCTTTAGAAATGAAATAGCTTCCGTATCATGAAACCAGCAATTAATGAGGTGTTCTGTTGGTGAACTAAAAGGGATATTTGGATGCCCAACTTTATTCTGCTCCAGCAAGCAAATTGACTGAGTTGCAGTTTATACCATTTCAGCCGTCACCAGTAGCAAACTTGGGGCAATGTAGACTCCAGCCAGCAAGGGTCTGTACAAGGTGTCTTGTTCTTTTTGGCTTCTGCAACTTCAGGCAAACAAGAACTGCCAAAACAGATGCATGTTACTAGAAAAATACAAGTCATTTATTCTAACATATCCAACTGGCATTCCAAGAAACTGACATAAGATTTTAAGACAAAGCTTGGCAGTTTTTTAAAAAAAAACAGTCTTCATGAGGGCAACTTAGTTTATGTAATAGTCATCATACAGGCAACTGCTTTCTTTTAGTTCCAGAAAAAGAAATTAAAATTCATAGGCCTGGTCATATAATTGAACAGATCTTTGTTGTTTCCTGTGTTACATCCTACGTAATACATGACCTATATTTGGAGTTGATGGGATGTGAGGAATACTAATTTGGTTTCCAAGAAAGTCTTTAGGCCAGTATTTGTAGCATGGTGCAAAATGGGGCTTTGGTTGCATTTGTAGCCAAAAATCTGCCAGAACTGACTAGTACTGACCAAAACAATGGTGTGCAAGACACATGTAGTGTGGGTACAGTTAAGGTTGGCACAGAAATGGTAAGTCCATTTCTGTGACTTACTTAAAAGCACAATGTTGAAGCTCAATTGGTCAAAACCAAGATTGGCACTGGAGGTTAATATCTATGGGCTCATTTGGTAATGACCATAGTATATGGACAAGTACAACCTAACATGGAAGAAATAAAGAATGTAAATTAGACAGAATGAAATGAATGAAAGAAAAACTGATATTTTGCATGTTTGTGAAAATAAGAGGCAGAGAAGGATGATATAATAGGTCTGAATGAAGCTGGTCTGATCTTGTAGAATGGATTCATGAGGGAAAATGAAAGTGTAGGTTTAATTATGAATGAAATGACTAAAATGTGTATTAAAATATGAATTGATGATATCTAGATTGTTGTGAGTGCAAATGAAACTAGGAGTTCATAGGTTGATGGTAGTAACTTGTTACAATCCAGTGAATGGTGATAATGGAGTTGTGGTGGGAGAAGGAAATCTGCAATATTCTGAATGAATTTCTACTAGGATAGATGAATGGATGAGAAGTGAATGCAAGTTGGTAATCAGATGAAAAGGTACAGAAAAAGGTTATGCTGTGCCAAAACAGAGGCAGAGAGGACATTCTCAGTATGCCTGAAAATGTTTTTTGCCATGTCATTAAGTAGCCAGGAACACTTAGGGCTTGAGGTATCACTGATGTTGTTATATTGCAGTTTCACTCTTGAGAGTAATGTTGCAACCAGTTGCCAGTAAATTATTTAAAAAGCCAGTATCCAAATTAACATTTATCCTGTTTAGTCCCTCCTATCTCCCCCAAACCCATTCAAATTTGTGAGACATGTTACACTTCAAGAACTAACTCAATGGAGAAGAATCCTATTCTCTAGAATACTTCAGTCTCCAACATGCAGTGCTGTTGCCTGCATTATACACGCTCCCCTGATGTTACTACTAAAGTTTTCTACATTATTGTTATAGAAAAATCTTCTATTACTTGCATCAGACTGGAACTCTTCAAAGCCTTTGCTTTCTGTAGCTCATGGGATTTATAAATATAGTCCTCGACTTACAACAGTTCATTTGGTGACCATTTGAAGTTACAACAGCAGTGAAAATATGACATGATCATTTTTTACACTTATGTCTGTTGCAGCATCCCCATGGTCATGTGATCTAAATTCAGATGCTTGGGAATTAACTCATGTTTACGATGGTGTCCCAGGGTTATATAGTCACCTTTTGGGACTATAACAAATATTCTAACCAATAAAATTAATGGAGAAGCAATGACTCACTTAACTGTGGCAAGAAAGATTGTAAAATAGGGCAAAACTTACTTAACAAGTATCTCACTTAGCAACAATAGTTTTGGGCTCAATTGTGGTCATAAATCAAGGACTAGCCACATTTAGCAGAGCATCAAGTTGGCAAATAATGCTTTTAATATGTGCACAGAGGCACACATCCACACACCCGCCTTGCTAGATGCTAAGAATGCTATTACCTTTTGGGAAGAACTGGTTGGAAGAATGATTATTTTTTGCAGTACAGAAGTTTGTTTGCTTATCCCTGTTACAGCCTGAGCTTTAAAATACACTTAACATCTAAAATGAGCTCCCTCTGCTGTTTCTTTTAGCAGTGTTCATTGAACAAAGAATAGTTCATTCTTTGTAGAAATAGAAAGTTTCTGAGGCTCTCTTTGTAATTATTCCTTTTTAATTTCCAGGAAGAATTCTAGTGCAAATAGATTTCTCCACCTAAACCTTCATTGCTTGACTCTTAAAACAGCTGTTAGAGATGCAAATTGTTTTCTTTCTTAAAACATTCTTGGAGGTACATCTTGAAATATTTGGATTTGTTTTCCTAATCAAAGATGCCTTAGTCTGCTGTTTTGGAATAGAAGCTCTTGTTCTTTTAGGTAGAAAACTAAAATATCCAGAGCAGTGGTGAAATCCAAATTTTTTTACTACCAGTTTTGTGGGGGTGGCTTGGAGGGCATGGTGTGGCTTGGTGGGCGTGGCAGGGAAAGGATACTGCAAAATCCCCATTTCCTCCCCACTCCTGGGGGAAGGATATTGCAATATTTCCATTCCCACCCCATTCTGGGGCCAGCCAGAGGTGGTATTTGCTGGTTCTCTGAACTACTCAAAATTTCCGCTACCAGTTCTCCGAACTGCTCAAAATTTCCGCTACCAGTTCTCCAGAACATGTCAGAACCTGCTGGATTTCACCCCTGATCCAGAGGCATTTTTTTTTCTTTGGGCATATTTTGAAGTTTTCCTGATAGTTCATCTTTCAGTTATATCACATTTAGGAGCTCTAAGTGATATATGGTACATGGCCTTCCCTATTCCTACTTTTTATCATAAGACCAATCTTGTGAGGTAAATTAGGGTTGAGACAGAGTGATTAAACCAAAACCATTCAGGGCACTCAGAGCTACATTTCTGATCTCTTCAATCCCCTTTCTCCACTTTTGGGTGCCAAACTAATATTTTTGCAACTGTGTCATCTTATCCATTTCTACTTATATTTTTAGATTATTATCAGTTGACATATAGTCAAGAAGTAGAATGTCACTTATTTACTTACTGTCACTTTTCTGATCTGGCATGGATATGATTGTAATGTTCTCCAATTTGTTTACTTTCTCAGCAGGCATTGCAGAGATTATCATACATTTGTAAGCGTCTTTCATTCTGAGCCCAGTGGGAAAAAATAGCTTGATTTATCTACCTTAATCCATATGTATTATATAGTCAATTTATTCCTCCCCAAAGCACCTTTTTAAAAAGATGAATATATTTGGGTTTATTTTAATACATTTAAGAAATAGCACTGCATGCTGATAGTTGTGGTTTCCAGTTATTGTAACCTTGACTCAATACTGGTCCTGCTGACAACAGCTGAAGATTCCAGAGATAAGATGCATCTCAGAAAGATTTAGAAGGTCCTGGAATCAACCTCCCTGAGTTGATTTCCTGTGTTGAAGACTGATAGCCATTCTTAGAACTTGGTAAAAGCTGACTGAGACCACTGTTAGATGTAAATCTAAATCCTGTGGTTTGTATAAGGAGCTTATGTTAGAGAAGATTTCAGACTGTTCTGACAAAGTCCAAGAGGGTAATTTACCAGTCACCTATACAAGTTTTATAGTATCTTTCAAAAGAGAGATTACTGAACCTAATTGGTTCTATTCTTCATAGAGAAGACAGTAAGTACAGATGTATTTTGTTAGAGGCTGATTAGAAAGACCTCAATTTTTGTTAAACGGTTTGAACTGTACGGTGACAAAATGTAGGGCAGTCTGGAGTGGCTTACTTTCATTTCCATAGCATTGTTAGAAATCTCTGCTTATTTCAGGAAAAGATTGACTCCTATTCATGAAATAGATTGAAATGCAGTCCACATATGGAGCAAAAGCTGTCAGGTTGCTGAGTGGCTTCATGCCCTGCCATAAGCGTCCCCTATAAGGCAAAATTCTTCTTATACACTACAAGATACACTAACATTCAAGTATTTTGGTAGAATAAATTTTTCTTAGTACTATCACTGAAAAGTAAAATGGGGATGATGAAAAGCAAAAGGGCACAAAAGTCGGCCAATCATTCTTTAATTCCTACCTAAATTACTAGGATTTTATTTATCTAATTCTCCAACTAGAATTCCAGTGGGCTACTCTTGGAATAAATAAAAGCCATTCCTTTATCTAGATCGGTGTTTTTTCAACTTAGCAACTTTAACATGTGTGGATCTCAATTCCCAGAATTCCCTAGACAGCTTTCTAGGATGGGGAATTCTGGGAGTTGAGATCCATGCATCTTAAAGTTGCTAAGGTTGAGAAACACTAATCTAGATGGAATGCTACACAGAACTGACAAAATGAGAAATGGGACCCACAATTCACTACTAGGCCAAACAGGCCAAGTGCAAACAGTCCATGTAAGAAATACTCCTGATCACAATAAAATGGTGGGAGCAAAAAAAATGGGGGTTGGAGCATCTATGCACACACACACACACAAACATGCACACATACACAGAGAGTAATGTGTGACCAGTTTCTTAGCCTTTTTAGAAGTTCGTTTTGATTATAATTGCCTTTCCCTGGCATAAGGTAATTTATTTAGTAAAGCCAAGACTTTGACTTCCCTTGAGAGCATCCCGTTCCTAAAGAAAGAATTATCAAGAGGGGAGAAGCTTTGAAGATTAAGTATGAATCAATGTACGGCTGCAAAAGAGGGGGGGAGGAAGAGAGAACAGAAGCCTTTCTACCTTGCATTTCTGGAAACTGGCCTCAAATAAAATAAGTAAATATATAATTGGGCTGTCTTTGTTGTTGGCAAAAACATTTTTTTTTTGTGGCAAATTATAAGCATTATATTTTAATATAAAGTCTTCCATTGAAGTCCCAAAGGTGCTTTTTCAAGAGGCAACTGGACTTTCTGGTTTTTTTCCTTAAAGATGTTTCACTTCTCATCCAAGAAGCTTCTTTAGCTCTGAAGAAGTTTCTTGGCTTAGAAGTGAAACTTCTTCAAAGAAAAACCAGAAAGTCCAGTTGCCTCTTGAAAAAGCACCTTTGGAACAATTGTGACTTGGATGACAAAGAATCTCCATAGACATCTTCCATTGAAGACCTGTATATAGGTAATCCTCTACTTACAACCACAATTGAGCCCAAAATTTCTGTTGCTAAGTGAGACATATGTTAAGTGAGTTTTGTTCCATTTTATGGCTTTTCTTGCCACAGTTAATAAGTGAACCACTGCAGGTGTTAAGTTAGTAACATGGTTGTTAAGTGAATCTAGCTTCCCCATTGTCAGAAGGTCACAAAAGCGGATTACATGACCTTAGGACATTGCAGCCGTCGTAAATATGAATCAGTTGCCAACTGTCTGAATTTGACCACATGGTCATGGGGATGCTGAAATGATCGTAAGTGTGAAAAATGGTCATGTCACTTTTTTCAGTGCCGTTGTAACTTTGAACAGTCATTAAATGAACTGTTGTAAGTTGAGGACTACCTGTACTGCACAAGCCAGGAAAAGGACTGAGAAAATACCTACAGACCACCTCACATCCTGGACGTAAACTCTTTCAACTCCTCCTCTCAGGACATTGCTATAGGGCATTGCATGCCGAAACAACTAGACACAAGGACAGTTTTTCCCCTATGCCATCACTCTCCAATTCCCATAGCACTGTCTTATGTTATGTATGCCTAATGATATTTACCCATGTAATAGGGCTGTATTGCTATTATCCTTCTGATCTTTCCTATTACCTTCCTCTTTTTTTTCTTTTTCTTCAGGGGAAAGCGTGAACGCAGTCCCCCACTACCTTCTTCTATTGGCATCTTATGATTTATCACTTCATTGTTTGCATATACAACTGAGAGCTTATCCGCTGGAGACAAATTCCTTGTGTGTCCAATCACATTTGGCCAATATAGAATATTCCAATCTATTCTTCTGTGTGTGTGTGTGTGTGTAGAATTTATATATATTCTAATACTACTTGCATCAGAAAAGAAAAATTGTGTGTATGTGTGTGTAGGCATTGAACCTACACATAATGCTCCTGCCTTGTATGGTCCCCACAACAACAACTCTGTGAGGTGGGTTGAGCTGACGGAGAATGACTGGCCCAAAGTCACCCAGCTGTTTTTCCTGCCTAAGGAAGGCCTAGAAGTTAGTTTCCTGGTTTCTAGGCCAGTACACACCTCCCCACAGAGTTTCTAGCTCACATTGCCCCACCAAAACCACATACTGGCACATGCTTAGATTGAAACAGAATTAATATCTTGACCTCAGAAATAGGTTGTGCTCAACTGCCAAAAAGGAAATGTAATTGTAGATTGTTATCAACAAAACTGTGATGTTTAGATCAAAAGTCATTTTCTTTCTACTTTACTGCTAGTTTTGGGCACTGCATTTTAGGAAGGGCATTGGAGTATGCTGAGAGGAGAACAATCAACATAATGACTTGGAAAGGTGAAAAAATAATGATTTGAGGCACTCAGTTTAAGCTGGGGAAGATTGCAGAGATCTAATCAGTCTTCAAGTATCTGAATGGTTGTTACATAGAAAAAATAAAGCAGAATTGTTCACTTATTTCAGAAGACAGATCAAAAGACAATAGGATTAAATTACAAGAGAATAAATTTTAGTTGGATATCAGAGAAAAAAACATCCTGACAGTAAGAATTTTTCAACAGTGGACCAAATTGCTTTGGGAGTTAGTGCCTCTTTTCACTGGAGATATTTAAGCAGAGGGTAATGTCTCAGAGATGCAAAAGTTGTGTACTTCTGCACTGGATGCAGTTGGACCAAATAGTTTTGAAGGCTCCTTAAAATCTCTATATCCCATGATTCTGGGATCAGGGAAAAAAACCCTCCTAAGTCTCTGGTGGAACTGCCTTGAAGACCAACTGGAAGCTACAGCTGGTTTAAAATGTAGTAGCGCAGGCAGTAATGGGCAATAATGGGGACTGTGCCCATGTGCCACTGTGGCTACAAAAGCTGCATTGAGAAAACTAGCTGGCTTGCAGGTGCAATTCAAGGTTCTGATCGACACCTCAAAGCTCATAATGGTTTAGGGCCTGATTACTAGAGGGACTGTCTGTCTCCAATTATTTCTGCCTGCCGGATATGTTCAAGAAGAGTAGGTGTGCTCCAGGGGTGGGTTCCACTCAGTGGTGGGATTCAAATAATTTAACAACCGGTTCTCTGCCCTAAAGATTTCTTCCAACAACCAGTTCATCAAACTGCTCAAAAAGTTAACAACCGGTTCTCCCAAAGTGGTGCGAACTGGCTGAATCCCACCACTGGTTCCACTTACCTTTACTACCGGTTCGCAGCGGGATCGCGCACATGCTTGCTTTGCTGGCATGCACGCATGCTCTTCTGCACATATGCAGACCACCAATGATGATGTCATGCTGGGTGGGCGGAGCCTCCCACCGCTTTTACTACTGGTTCTATAGAACTGGACAGAACCGGGAGCAACCTACCACTGGTGTGCTCCTAGTCCAGTATTAAACAATGCCATCTCATGGGACCAAGAAAGTGTGTGTTTTTTTGTCATGGCTTCACCCTCTGGAACTGTCCCCACAGTTATATTTTGCATCCGCTCTTCTGGAGTTTTGGAAAGCCCTTAAACCGTCCTTTGTTTCCAGACCTGGGGTTAGTGTGTGTGTGTGTGAGTGAGTGTGAGAGAGAGATTGATTTCTATTAATGTGGCTATTTTTAGTTCAGGATGCCTCTTGTTAAGGTTTTCAATTGTTTTAGCTATGTATTAGATTTTGCAAAGCACCCAGATTCTGCTGGATTGGCAGCCATAATAAATCTAATGAAATAAAAAAATAAATAATGCTAACAGTAAATCTCAAACATGTCATTAAGATGGTAAAATATTTCCTTTCATTGCCCTCAGTTTACCAATTTTTAAAACTATTTGGAATGGAAGGATGAATTATTTTAGGGCCATATCAGTGCTAAAATGTGTACTGCAACACTACCAAGCATCTGTTAATGCCACCTGAAGCTGTAGGCACAAAGCTTATAGCCGCAGTGGCGCAGTGGTTAGAGTGCAGTTCTGCAGGCTACTTCTGCTGACTACCTGCTGCCTGTAATTTGGCAGTTCATATCTTACCAGGCTCATGGTTGATTCAGCCTTCTATCCTTCCGAGGTGGGTAAAATGAGGACCCAGATTGTTGGGGGCAATATGCTGACTCTGTAAACTACTAGAAAGGGCTGTAAAGTACTGTAAAGCGGTATATAAGTCTAAGTGTTATTGCTATTTGGACCTTCACAATACCTCTTGCCATTAAACATCCCTTTTTTGATTAGTTAATATCATCTGTATGGCTTCCTGATTGATCAAACTTGAACCAATTCAGGAAAGGTTATTCAAGAAGCAGGGTGGATGTTGGTCATTAGAGATCCTGATGAATCTTGACTTTCCACTCTCTTGATAACATTGGCTGATCTACTCCTCTCTCCTAGGCCTCATCCAGCTTGTAAGAACTTATTCTAAGACAGCCCAGACACTCCACAGCGTGCAAACAGCTAAATTAGTACATGCAAAACAATGGATCTTTTTGATGTTACGAAAATCAGTATGAAAAACAATGCTAATAGCAAGGGAAAACATTTGAGCTTTGTAGAATGATGTGTCACTGAAGTGTCTGTTTGGGGACAAAAGAACTACACAGTCAAATATGACACAAACAGAGCTGAGCTCTAATGCAACAAGAAGCTCCAGTCTAGCATCTGGACTTTGAACATGTAGAAAGACTTTGTATTATTTTGCATGCATGAATTAGCTCATCAGTGCATTAATATTTGTCCCTGGAAACCTGTTGGATGAATTGTTATTCTTGATTAGACAGCTTCAACTTCCTATACCTTTTTCATTTTAATGCCTCCTGACGGTCATAATTTCCATTGGACCAGATTTCTAATTTAGGCAATATCTCATGTAGTGGTGAAGCAGGCCCATGATGGGGCTGCCTTTGAAAACTAGTGCAAAATAAAGCAGTCCCCACCTACTGTAGGTGACAGCTACTATAAGCATAACAATTTTGCAGACATTGCATTGGTATCTAAGAGCTTCTGAGTACAATTCAAAATGCTGGTTTTTTTGTAGCTTGGTGCCCAGGTATCTTCAATGCCAATCTCCTTCAGATAGAACCAATTTACCCAATCCACTCATCCTGAGTTGGGATATTGAGGGAAAGGCCATCTATTCCTCTAGAAATCCACATAGTACTATTTTAAATGTTTTACCAGCTTTCAGGAGAGAGGACAGATTTTTTTTCCATACAGTTGTTAACATATTTTATTGCTGGACTCTGAGTGTCAGAAAGGGTTGGAGAATTTTTAATATAATTCCTTATTTTGTTTCATATGGAATATTTTCACTGTGTTACTCCATGGTAACTTTTGCTGCATAAAGATACTCATAGTTAGGTTCTAACACCCCTTATTAGGCTTTCCCCAGACTAGATAAATTTTATGATAAACTCCTTCTAGAAGACACTCTAAAATGCTAACTCACAAAGTCTGCATTAATAGACTGCAGAACTTGTGCTTTGCTAATGTCAAATTGAGGATTGATTACTGCTGTATTGGGCAGGATATTAGAGCCTTATATAGCTCTCATTTTACTGCATTATTTCCTTTTTACTGTGCTGTGTTTTATCTTACTACCTTATTTTTCGGAGTATAAGACGCACTCCCCCCCCCACAAAAGAGGGCAAAAATTTGGGTGCGTCTTATACACCAAATGTAGTCCCGCCCATCCGCCGGAAAATGGGGCACACTGAGGCAATAGGCTACGGCAATCCCTGCAGACTGAAACAACTGATCTTCGGGAGACCGATCCAACCGACAATCAGCTGCTTGTGCTAATCAGGCTATGCTGAAGCTGAAACGGATTGTTTGCTGCAAGGAGGCAAATTGCTGGGAGGCAGAGGCAGATTTTTTTTCTTGTGCTAAACAGGTTGTGCTGAAGCTGAAATGGGCTGTTTGCTGCAAGGAGGCAAATTGCTGGGAGGCGGATTTTTTTTCCTTGTTTTCCTCCCCCAAAAAGGTAGGTGCGTCTTATAGTCCAGAGCATCTTATACTCCGAAAAATACAGTACTTTTATTTTGATAAGCTTGGTGAGTTGTGATCTATAATCAAATCATTTGTTTGTCCATCCATCCATCCATTGGAAATCTTAGCAATAATCTAATTCTACCAAAAGGAGATTTATTATGAAGAGCTATATGTATATTCTTTGATAATTAAAAAGTACTGTGCAATGTGGATTTTTAAAATAGTTTGCCATAATTTTCCAGTTGTCTAATTTATCAGGCCCAATCCAGTCAAAACTCAGTGTTATTACATTCTCTTGGTTTTAAAGTGAACAAGTTTAATATTTCTGTAAGTTTTCAATACTGAAACCAACTAGATGTTAAACTACTGAAATTTTTCCATTTTGTGTCTATCATTTACAGCATATTAACATATTTAAAACATTTGTAACCCAGGTTTTCAAGGAGTGCCACTTTAATTTCATTCTGTGGGTTACCTGATGACCCAACTAACAAAAGTTGCTTATGTAAACATGCTGAATAAGCCAGCTCAGGAATCATCAAGGCTTAAGACATTTGAAAGAGTACTAAAATGGACCCATGGTTTAAGACATATTGCAGTACCCTTCAGATACCACTCCCAAGTTGTACTTATCCTCCTTTTTTGTGTTGCAATCTGCATAAACACCTATTATTTTGGGATCTTTTCCCTGCAAATATTTTAATATTTTGGTTATAGAACTAAGTGCTCCCTGCTCAGTTGACGCAGTGCCTGGCCTCTCCCTTTGTCAGGTAGACACCCAAACAAGGAAGATAAATGACTAACCTCTACAGTATGTGTCAATTTTACAAATAACTGAAGTACTGTCTGACCTGTTTTAAAGACAAACCATAAGATGGGTGATCTTGGGCCACTCCCTTTCTCTCAGCCCAACTCACCTCACAGGGTTGTTGTGATGAAAATAGGTGATGGTGTGTTGGATATGTTCACCGCCTTGAGTTATTGGTATAAATAATAAAGGTAGGATACGAATAAATAAGAGGGAAGAGGTCCTAAAATTGCAATTTGTAGCTAGAAAACAAACAAAGCAGTCATACTAGTCCACTGGCAAGAGCCAAGACGTATTTAGTTTTACCGGTAATTTATAAAATACCCTCAACTCTGCTCATCTGTTTATTTTCTTAGCAATGTTTTTCACAAGAGATTTGCCCCTGCCTAATGCTGGGAATGGCTGGCCCAAAGTCAGCCAACTGGCTCCATGCTGAAGACAAAACTAGAGCTCACTCTCCCTGTTTTTAGTCCAGTGCTAACTATGTAATTACATGTAATTAGCACTTACCTATGTTATACATCTCTCTTTATTTTTTGACGCATTTCCTCTTCTGGGGAGAAAAACACAACTCCCAACCTTCTGGGAAAATTCTGTCCCATTCTAATCCATGGGGAAATATTTTCTGCAAGCAATATGGGGCAGGAGCTTGAAGAATTAGTCTAGGTAATTTTGCTGCAAAAGCTCTGCTCCATAATATAATTCAGGACCTCAATATAATTGGATGGAGAACAAGATGATTCTAATTGATATTAAAAAAAAATGGTGACATCACTTGACTTATACTGCCTCACACAGGACCAATTAGGATTTTAGGAATGATGTTATAAAATCCTCCACTAAATTTAAAAATCTATGTGGCATTCTAGCAATATATTTTACCAGATGTTAAAAACCAACAAAAAAGCTGATACCTAGAACATGCATAGCTAATTGTTTATAACCATGGTTATTGAACACATCCAACCTTATGCCTGAAAGTCATTTCCCAAGTATTTCCTTTACAGAGAAGCCTCTTGTTTTCCCCCCAATTTTTCACAAGGAAGAATAACATTTGTCTCCTGTAATTCCCAATATTGTTTTCCCATCCCAGTACATGTGCTCAGAGAGTAAGTAGAACTATCTGTGCCCTGGAGCAACAACTGCTTCATTTATGGTTTTAATGTGCAATGCATGCTTACACTGCATTTTTAAATATAACCCAGCTACTGCACAGAGCATACTTTTAGAGAAAATGTGCAATTATATTCTTTAGAATAGAACACGAACACTTGGCTGCAACAGCTTTCTTGTGTTTATAATTAATCTGGAATTTTGTTCTCCCTCTCCAAATAGTATGTGATCCCCAAGCTTCCACGAAGAAGCAATTTCCAAGAATAATTTGTTGCTTTAAAAAAGAGGATTCATTTGGTACTATCAAGAAAAATAACAGCTTGGTAGAGGTTTTTTTTTCATCAATTCAGAATAGAAAAGGAGAGTGAATCACAGCCTATCCAGCTAAGCAACCATTTTCCATAGCAGCCAACCAGCCATGTCCCTAGGAAACAGACAGGCATTGACGTAAAGAAGCCACTCATCTATTCTTTTACTATAGATGCAGCTTCTGAATCTGAAGGCAGCATGTGTTCCTCACGGATAGCTGTAGTCTCCATCAGTCTGTCAAACTCATTTTAAAGGTGGGTTTAATCATTTCCTACCCCCAAACAGAAAATACTATTGGTTTAGGATTGGGGCACTTGATAAATGTGCACCATCCTTAACAGTAGATTGTTGTTTTAATAATACAACGATCAACAGACATTTCCAACACTCAAACTTATGATCATTTTGACACTAGTTTAACTATCAACAACAATAACATCCTGGCCAAAGATGCAAAATTCTTCCATGCATGTTTCTAAGATACTGCCATATCTTATTAGCAGAAAGGAAAGGAGGCGAGGCGAAGGCTTAAAAGATCACTAACTGAATTTTCCATCTGTTTTCTTCATGGTCCAAAACTCCTTGGAGTAATTCGAGCAGAAGTATGTTCTTTGAATATTCAGTATTTCATGCTTATTTTTCAGCCACACTTGGAACAATTTTAAGTCACGGAAGTGAAAGCTACCAATCTTTCAGCATCTCCATTCCAGGTAAATCTTTGACTACACTGTTCTGTAGGCCCAGCCAAAATATCAGCTTTTCAGTCATTTCAAAATATATCCCTGATAAAAATGCAGCCTCTTGTTTGGATCAAGAAGAAACAGACATATAGACCAATCTTTTCTCTTTATAATCAGTATCATTTGGGACATAGCGAAGAAAGTATTGGATATAAGATTTCAAAAGGGGTATCTGGTTGGCAAAACACAAATCGTACTCTACCATAAATACCATTTGGTGAAATATCAAAGCTGTCACATCACTTTTATTCAGGGATACCTGTCAGTATCTTCCCATGCCCTTTTCATGCTAAAGTTGTCCTGTAAAGTTTGTGGTTTCCACTAGGACCCAGAAGTTTCTTCTTGCAGAGAACTTTTTAATTCTCCTGATATTGCCTCTTTTTCTGCTGGCCCTTTCTTGCTGCTTCTGAAGGTCACGGAAATCAGGGGCGCAACAGTTCATGTGAATTTGGGCTAGTTCCTGCTTCTCAACCAGCAGTACAAAGAGTGGGGTGAAGAGAAAGGAAACAACTTGGTTTCTTGCTTACCAAATACTGACACAGCTACCATTTGAAGCTGCAATGGTGCTGAACAAGGGGACTTATATCCCACTCATTGAAGTTTCACCTGTCATACAATCACAATTTGGATGCTTGACAATCAGTTTGCACTTATAAAGGTTATAGCCATTTTCAATCTTCCCTGCTGGCTTCACACAAGCAAAGTCAACGGGGAAGCTGGGAGGTGGGGGCAGGTTGTAAGTTGCTCGGGTAAGTCAAACATCATGCTTTATGACCACAATTCTGGTCCCAATTTCCATCATAACCCAAGGACTACCTGTAAAGGGATTTAACTGAGTAGTGCTGATTGTACTTTTTTTTTTTTTTTTAAAGAATGCTGTTTCTCTGTATCAATTGGGCATAGTTCTATTTCTGTTAAAAATTTAAAAGGCCATTATTTGTATATATTCAATAATTTGTATATATTCAATAAAACTATTCTGTATGCATTATTTTAGCATGTTCTGCAATAGAACCATGCTGCATCCTATCTGCTAAATGTTGTTGCAAGAAAAGATCTTTGAAAATTTTCTTCATAAAATTAAATTGATAGTAATCCAATTCATCCCAGTAGGGGGTTTTGTTTGAGAAGGGAGACACATTGTTACTCATTTCAAGCAATCATACTACTTTTTTGATAAGCAATTTCACAACAGTTTATAGTGTTACTGAAGCAAAACTATAACCATAACAGGGCAATGTTAAAACTAAGATCAGCTTTAAAAACAAAATATTGAAGGAAAATATACAGTTTCTTGATCTTAATGATTAGACAAAAATCTATTTCAAAAATTAATCTCCCCCAAGTCCAAATGTGAGCCAAACCATCCAAGAAAACTCCCTGTTCTTAATCTTCTAGCTCTTCTTTAATTTTCTTCTTTTTCTTTTTCTTTTTTTCTGTATTCTGAAACATAAGCATTGTTACATCATTTCACTATGATAAATGAAAATATAGTATCTAGTTTTTTTCCTGTAAGAAAGAGATGCACAGCACTTCATGGTCTGATTTTGCTTCTACAAGTTAATATATTTAGATAGAGCAGCTTACCTAATTGTAGGAATACATGATTAGCTCTGATGTAACATTAATGAAATGAGTCAATGGAACTGCACAGTAGAGTATGAAAGCTTTTTATCTCCAAGCATCTTAGTGGAACAGTTCCACTTCTGCAATTTAGACAGAGGTTATCTGTCTAAGCACTTTGGGATTTTAAATGGAAAGAACATAACCTCAGATTAGATTTGGAAACCTCCTTTAAGCATATCAGTGGTGGAAAGGAAACTAACCAGGATTTCTTTAGTAATGGTGAGTGAAGAGACTTAACTGTTTTCGGAAAGGCAATTTTCTACTAATTAAAAAAATGATTTATTCCTTTCTATAAATCTTCCTTAGAAATCATCAATAAATAACATTTACAATCTTTTTTTTTTAAATGTAGAGAAGGCTATCAATAGAACACCAACATGGAGGCTGTACCTATTGGTATAAAACTTTTTTTTTTTTTTTTTTTTTTTTTTTCATCACATTCTGCAGCAACTGTATTATAACCTTGGAAGATTCTAAGCAAATAAGCTAGAAAAGAAATCTGGCTACCAGGTGCCTTCCCACCCTACTTTTGTTGTGCCTGTGATTTTTGGTGGCTTCCCGAACAAGACCATGCGATTTTCTTGGCAATATTTTTCAGAAGTGGTTTACTATTGCTGCCTCCTTCCTTAGACTGAGACACAGTGACTGAGCCAAGGTCACACAGCTGCCTTTGTATCTAAGGCAGGACTAGATCTCATGGTCTCCCACTTTTAACCCAAGGCCTTTAACTACTGCACTAAACTACATATATACCCCTTTTTCTCTTTGATAGTCCAGATTCTTCTAGGCTAGGTATGCTTGGGATAAGGTTGCTAATCTGCTCACCTGTGAATCAAACATATATGTTTCCAATGAGTCTACATTTAGCTAAACAATTGGGTTTTGTTTGTTCGTTTTACTTAGGTCAGGTGCATAAATAAATAGTAAAGATGGCTTTGTTAAGGCAGTCAGATTTGTTGCACCAGAAAATATACAGCCCTGGCCAGCATCATTCACATTCAAGGTATACAGCAGATACAATTCTGGAGGGCAGCAAGCTGGGAAAGGCTATTTTCAGTGTCCTACCTCCACCACCATACTGGTCGATGGCTCCTCTGCATTCTCTTCTACCCAAACAGATGTTTCCTGAGTTTTCTGTTTTTTCTTTTTCTTTTTCTTCTCTTTAACATGTTCCTCCTCTTGTTCAACTTGCTCATCCTCATCCTGTTCCTCTTCTTGTGTCAGGCAGGAAAAAAATTACAAAAACAAGTTAAACAAAACAGAAATGCTAGGAGTTAGCCAAAGTTGTTAGTGGGCATTTTTGAAAAATGAGAGCATGCTGCTGGCCATGATCCATTCCTGACACATCAAGGAATAGTTATGGATTATCACAATCCCAAATATTGGAAAACAAGCTGATAAGAGATGTTTTCTGCAACTTCATCTAGTATTTTAAACACACTTTGCTTTATCACTCTGTGAGTATTTTCTGCCTACCTACGTAGATGAACAATTTCCAAATTGAATACATTCAGTAGCCACCTTTGCTACTCTCTATGGATGTCCTTGGGGAGGAAGAGATGTGGTAAGAAGGCATTCCATTGACTTAAAGCAATTACATTCATGGAACTCAACTGGAAGAAGTTATTGAGGACTGCCCATAATGTAAATTGTAGTATACTTGAAAGATACCATGTTTGGTGTTATTGTGAACCATCATATAATGTTATACTTATTCTTAAAAACATGTTTCCCCTTTGAATGATTCAAAAGAAAATGGTTTAGTACCCAAACCATTAAACTAAACATCTTGTCAAATAACCGACAAAATCTAAAACAGAAAATCTTAAGAGTATTTCTTGCTGAAGACATCTTTGGAAGTCCTTCCAAGATCAAGAATCTTTTCTTTTCTTTTTTTTTAATTAAAAAAAAAACTTTCTAAAACTTTCTAAAAAACTTTTTAGAAATGTTTTCCCATCCCCCCTCGACCTTCCCCCCCCTACTTCCCAGAGCAAAATACAGGGTATAGCATTTAACAATCATATACTAACATGTGCTAACTATCTATAGACTCCTATCTCCCTCTTGTACTTTAACTCCCCTTTTACATGACTAAATTTAAATACTTTTCTAAAATCTCTTTATTCATTCGTAAGCTATTTGGAACTTTTTAGTCCGATATTTGCTTTGAATATAATCAATCTATCTTCTCTATTCCAAAATATATCCTTCATTTGAGTGGTCCTTCAAATATGCTGAAATTTTGGCCATTTCTGCTAAATTTGCTACTTTTAGTGTCCATTCTTCAATAGTAGGCAAGTCTTCCTTCTTCCAATACTGCGCCACCAAAAGACTTGCTGCGGTTATTAAATTTAAAATCAGATTAGTCTCTAATACAATCTCTAATTATACCCAGCAAGAACAGCTGTGGAGTAAACTTTATCTTCTTTTTAAGAATATTTTGCATGATCCACCATATTTTTATCCAAAATGCTTTGATTTTTTTGCATGTCCACCATATATGATAATACGTGGCATCATCACTCTCACATCTCCAACACTTGGGTTGCAAACTTGGATACATACCAGGTAACTTGTTAAGACCTAGATGCCATCTATAAAACATTTTGTAAAAATTTTCTCTCAAATTTTGGGCTTGCATAAATTTTACATTTCTAACCCATATTTTTTCCCCACGTTTCCATCATTATTGGTTCCTCAATATTTTGTGCCCATTTTATCATACAGTCTTTAATTAACTCTGTTTCTGAATCTATTTCTATCAATGTATTATACAACCTTTTTATATGCATTTGACTCTGGTCTCTGATTTGTTTTACCAAGTTTTCCTCATTTTGTGTGATACCAATTTTCTGATCCTCTTTCCATCTAGCTTGTAGCTGTCCAAGTTTGAATTATCCTTTCTTCTTTTAATACATTCAAAGACTTTAACTGTAATGTACCTCTTTCCATATTAAGAAGCTCTTTATATGTAATCACATCTTGTTTTTGTTCTACACTTATATTCTCTATCGCATGTCTGGGTGTCAGGTTACTCTAGTGCTGACACTGGGTACTGCCCATATAGGTATCTTATCGTTTAATTTATATTGATACTTTTTCCAGACACGCAATAAAGCATTCCTTAATATATGACTTTTTAAAGTCTTGTCCACCTTCTTGACATATAATAAATAGGTGTGCCAACCATATATCAAGTCATATCCCTCAATATTCAAGATTCTTTCTTCTGTTAAATTGATCCAATCACTGATTGCTGATAGGGCAGCTGCTTCGTAATATAGTCTTAAATTGAACATTTTGAGACCTCCTCTTTCACGTATATCTTGCATTATTTTTAATTTTATTCTCAGTCTTTTCCCTGCCCAAACAAAGTTATTAATACCCTTCTGCCATTCCCCCAAATTTGCATCCTTTTTGAGTATTGGTATCATTTGAAAAAGAAATAAAAACGTAGGCAAAACATTCATTTTTACTACTGCTATTCTTCCCAACAAAGACAATTGTAATTTTTTCCAGTTGTCCATTTCTTTCTGTATTTTTTGTCAAGAATCTTTTCTGTTGTGGAGCTGGGAGTAAAAGGGATGGAAATTTTTCACCAAGAAACTTTAATCTAGAGGTGTGACTTAATTCACCAAAAGGAAAACAAAGTTCTTCAGCTTCAAAAGTTCTGTAAGGTAGGAACAATAAGGCTGTGAAAAGGGCCCATGAGCCTCTCCTTCTGAACCATGGCTTACACCTATCCATCTCAAAGTGTTGGTCCATGCAACACTGCTTAAGGGCTTTGTACTCCTGCTTACCTAGATGTCCTGATACACCAAGGTTACCATCTGCAACTTTCAAACGTATCTATACAATAATCATACAAACCTCATTTTCACTCATAATGGAGGGTGATATAGAAATGTTTTATAGAAATATAGATGCTATGGAGTAGGACAGAGATAAGCAAAATATGACTCCAGATGTTGGAATGCAACTCTCATCATGCTGCTTAAAGACTGCTGGGAGTTAACATCCAACATCTGGACAAACAGCACTCAGTTCATTTGTAAGGTAATATAAGCCACATATTTTCTACCATCTTAGTTCACTGACGTATCTTTACACTAATGTCACATAGAATCTATTCACAGTTCCTAAATTAACTAAAATGTACTTATGAAATGAATATAATTCCTAGGTTGCCAACTAAAGCTTGGCTGATAAAAGCTTTGCCAGAAATAAAATATAAAAAAACAACTGTTTTTTCTTCTAGAGATGCTCAGTTAGGTACAGTACTTAAGATTCAGGGCACAAAACCCTGAAGACCACCCTAAGATTAATTAGGCATGCAAAAGACTAAAATGCTGAAGAATGCTGTGTGCTCTTCAGCACACATGTGTTATGGCTACCTTGGGGAAGATTTCCTTATTCACAGTGCATTATAATGCGGGATGTGGCCAAATCACAAAACAGCAATTTACTAGAAGGCAAACTCATACAGTTGTGTCCCATCCCATTCTTTATTCCCTCCCTAGCAACTGACCTTGGTTTTTTTTTTCTGGGTTGATAAGGCAAGTTCAGTGTAATATTCTGGACTACAGCCACACACCATTTTTTTTTATTTTCTAAGAATGTCTATGAGCTGTACCTTTGCAGTGTGGCAGCTTTCCATTTATTTATTTATTATTAAAAGAATCTAAGAAAAAGTCAGGTGGAGCAGGTAGCCTTGTATGAAAAGCAGTGAATGTAGGTAACAAACAACTTTGCTTTAAAATATATTTTAACACATTAAAAATACATTGATGCCAGGACCTGGTGTCATGGAATTAAATTTAATTAGTTAACTACCCACATGGAAAAACAGTGGGATAAAGTACATTAGGATTTGAAGTAGGCCTAGAAATAGAAACCCAAAAAATTGCTAAAGGGAAAGAGACACTTTGCACTATAGGAAACAAGGAGTTGTTGGGGAAGAAAAACAAGATTGTTCCTTCTCTCTGGACTTCCAATTAGCAAATCCCCCTCCCCAAACAAATTGACGGAGAAAAAAAGGCCTACTTATTGACAAATGCAATTTAGCAAATCAGTATTCAAGTATACAAAATCCTTTTATAGAGCCACCTTTTAAACTTCATTAAACAAACCTTTGATTTCTATTTTAGCCTTCTTTGCCTTTTGTGGAACTGCCTGTTCTTCATTCTCTTCCCGTTCTTTGCGCTTCTTTGGGACCAGAGGGAGCGTAGATTCCCCAGAAGGATCATAGACCTTCACTTCACTGGAATATTTAAAGAGTATAAGCAAATTGTAAATGAGTGGAAACCCCATTAATGCCAATTGCTGGGTGGCAAAGTGAAGTAGAAGTACTGCCACAGCACCGTTAAGAATCTTAAGTCTGTTCATGTTGCAGAATCAAATATGAAACTGTTTCAAAATAATTATGAGGTGTTGTGGCCAGACGTACAGAAAGATATGGAGACTTGGAAAAAACTGCAGCTGTCTTTACTTGGAAGAATAGCAGCAGTTAAGATGAACATTTTGCCAAGATTTCTTTTTTTGTTTCAAATGATTCCGGTGCTTAAAAGTGATAAACAATTGAAAGAATGGCAAAGAGGATTGAATAAGTTTGTTTGGAACGAGAAAAAGCCAAGAGTGAAACTGAAAATTATGCAAGATGTTCCAGAAAGGGGAGGCCTTAAACTTCCAAACCTACAATTATATTATGAAGCAGCAGCTTTGACGCAAGCAAGTGATTGGTTTGGAAGGAAAAAGACTGGAATATTGAATATAGAAAGTTTTGATCTTGAATTTGGTTGGCATGCTTATTTATTTTATGAGAATAAAGTGGACAAAAAATTCAAAAGCCATATACTTAAGAGATTCCTTGATGAGAGTTTGGAAGAAGCACCGATTCAAATGGGATTACAAAATACCGTTGTGGTTGGATCTTGGTCATATCATGTGGAATACAAATATGTCACTCGGGGGGTTGTTATATAAAGAAGTTCTTTTTACAGATGCAGGCAGATGGCAACTGAAGACATTAGAAATGCTGTTGGAAGAAGGGATTAATTTAACCTGGTTGCAGTATAATCAACTTCAATTGAGATGGAAAGAGGACCAAAAAATTGGTATAATGATGCATGAAGAAGAATTGGTTAGACATATAAAAGAGAAAGGTCCAATGTATATTAAAAGGGTATATAATGTTTTGTTAGAAAGGGATTCAGAAACTGAATTGGTTAAAGACTGTATGATAAAGTGGGCACAAAATTTTGTGGAACCAGTGATGTTGGAAACATGGGAAAAAATATGGGTTCAGAATGTTAAATTTACTCAGTCACAGAATTTGAGGGAAAATTTTTATAAAAAGTTTTATAGATGGCATTTAGATCCTAAGAAACTGTCATGCATGTACCCTAATGTTCAACCAAAATATTGGAGATGTGATTGCTTAGATGCCACATATTATCATATGTGGTGGACTTGTAAGAAAGTGAAGGCCTTTTGGATTAAAATTTGGTGGGTTATGCAGAATGTTTTGAGGAAAAAAATTCAGTTTTCTCCACAACTGTTTCTGTTGGGTATAGTTAAGGGCTTTACATTGGGTGAAACAAAGTTGATATTGTATATGATAACAGCAGCGAGATTATTGATAGGGCAATACTGGAAAAATGAAGTTATACCTACTATTGAAGAATGGACTTTGAAGATGGCCAGTTTTGCAGAGATGGCGAAGATTTCAGCATATTTAAAAGATCGTTCACAAGAGACTTATCTATGGGAGTGGAAAAAGTGGATAGACTATGTGCAGAATAAATATCAAACTAGGAAATACCAGATAGCTTTTAATTGAAAGTATTATATAGGGATAGAATAATAGAATTTTTGTGAAGATGTGAAAAACATATAGGGGGTGGATGGGTTCAAGTTTTATAAAAAGGGGATTTTGATTTGGATTATATTCTGAGGAAGTCAGTGGGGGAGGGGAGGGTTAGGGAGGGAGGGGGGGAAATGGGGAGAAAATGTAATTGTAAAACTTTTTCAATAAAAAAAAAAAAGAACCTTAAGTCTGTTTCAGTACAGTTCTTCTGTGATCTAATGGACGTTGTGAAACAGCTTCAATGAATTTATGGCGATTTGTGAAAAGCTTAAAGGAGCAGATATTGGGTACATTACACCAACAGTTTTACAGTGTAAAAGAGAGGCTCTTTTTAAAATAATGTTAAATACAGATGCTAATTAAGAAAAGTAAACTTCACAGGTAGGTATACTCAATCTTATCAGTTCATTATGGCAAAAGTTGGGAAAGCCTTTATTTAAAGATTACAATCTACAGTTTCACAATGGCTAGAAAAGCAACCAAGCTAGGTGGGCCTGAAATATTTATTTTGACAAAAGGGACATTTCTATGAAAGTGAAGTATCTGAGCAGAAAAATTAAATGCTCTTGGCAGTGTTACCCATGAGTAAAGTGAACATTCATATACCTACCTCTTGTGCTGGTATTTGTCAGCACGGGCCACAGCTTTTCCAGTACCACTTATTCGTCTTATCTGGACAGGAGTGGACGGGGAAAAAAAAAGAAAAGAATTAAAAATTGATACAACCCAATGAAGTCACTTAAAAAGATTAACGGTTAAGAATAGATGATAGCGGAAAGAAAAAAACCCATAATCAGCAAGGGAACCAAGTGCTCTTTATTCTTACAGGTAAAAAGAGACAACTGGTTAATAAATATATTCCATATCTATTTGATTTGATGGGAATAAAAGCTCCTTTGCAATTATGAGTTTATTAATCAATATTAATTAATACAGGATATTAGTTCTATATCCCAAAGGGAAGGGAGGAAATTGCCAGGGAAAAAGAGCAGCCTTCCCAACTCCATCTCTACTCCGATGTGTTTGGGTGATCGATTCCCAAACTCCAAGCTATTGTGGCCATCAATCTCCCAAAACATAGGGAGACCATGGACAAATGAATTTTATAACTTTCTAAATTCATAGACCTTTTGAAACAAGGTTCTTATCTTTCCTGTTCACCCTGTAGCCACCAGTTGCTTAACCACACAAGCTGAGGTATTTCTGAAACACTTTCAAATAATTATTTATCCTCAAAGGTGCATTTGCGAAAAACACGAGGCTTTTATAAACATACTCCTTTCTCCTCCAGGTGCCGTAATCTTGTTTCTACTTTCAATCTGTTCTCGGCTCCCATCTCAGCACTTGTGCTCTCTCCAAGGGCATCATAACGAATAGTCAAAGCTGTTTTGGCTGCTAGCATACGTGAAATCTGTGGGGGGAAAAAAAGTGAAACAAATCTCGTAATGTCACAAATTATCCCATAGACGAGTGAGAGGTCTCCAGAATGTATCTATCAGCCAAGACCTGTACAAGCTGAATGCTCAGGGCAGAGAATATTTAATCACGCTTGCTGGGACAAATCCATTTGTTCTGGTTCCTCATGCCAAACTGACTAGGAAGAGACAAATTCAGACAGCCCCGCTTCTTTGTTTAAACAAGCATTCCTTGGGTATGATTTAACTGATGGATGGGGGCAGTGATTTTGTTTTATTTTTTTCCACATAAACACTGGATCAATACAAGAACCACTGTATTAATGGTTCTTAGGCCATGGAACCATTCAGAGCTGATGTAGAGTAAAAGCACTCTAGAAGTAGAACTTTAAGCACCCTTCCTTACTTATTTTCTTATCTCCTGCCAATTAAACTTGTCATATCTCAATCAGCCTGTTTCAGAAACAAAAGCAAGAAGAACAAAGCAAGTGATTGTCCAACCTCTTACCTTTCCTTTATTTTTAGCTGTTGTTTGCCCTACAAGGGAAGCATGATAAATCAGACCAAACTTTGGAGTGTCACGCTTAGTCTTCAGTGCTCTAAAAAGTGCTTTCTCAGCTCCCAGAATCTGAACTGTTGATGCTGGATGCTTCGCTAGATTCAGCAGGGAACCTATTGCAGACAAGATAATAGTAGATTATATGAATGAAGTAAACTCTGAAATAGGCCCTTTACAAAACATTACGTTCAAGATTTGGAAATAACAAAGCCTCATACCTCCTACCTTCCAAACCGACTAAAGATCTCTAGGAAACAGGAACAAAAGGCCTCACTGGGATGGGCATTACTGTACAATTGTACACTATACAATTCCCAGGAACTGTAGGGACAATCCTGAACCTACGTTTGTCTGCTCCATTACATGATTTGAAAATAACCTAAGGGAAGCATAAATCTGGCATTTGGGAGTGAATGAGTGAGAAAAGCAGAGAATGGCTCAAGAAGTGTCTCAGAAGAGGTAGTGACTAAAGTTGCTTTCACCTTCCAAGAGGAAATCAAGCAAAGTTCAAATAATGTCATCATCGTCAACTTCTTGACCTGACAATGCAACTTTGCATTATGGTTTCTTGTTTAGTTAATCTCCAAGATAATTATAGTAAGGGGTGCTGCATGCAACCAACACACAAACTCAGAATTGCAACATACCAGCATGGGCAATAAGCCTTGCTCCTACTAGTTCTCCCACCATAATAGTGAGGTTAGGTGCAATGGCCATCATTCTATTTTTCAGATAGTCATACAGTGTTGCTCGATATTCAGAGATCTCAATAACCTGAAAGACAAAATAACAGAAGGTTCAAACTATGGAATATTGCCAAAGAAAACTGGGAATGATATTCCTTAACAGGTATTAAGGCATCAGGAGTATGATAATCTATTATTATGCGCAACCAGTCACGATGTTGACTGGATTTGGCATTTTTATCCATCAATTGAGACCTACCCAAGGACCTGGGATAGGAGTTGTTGTTGTTAAAGGTATTGTCAGAGGATGCAAACTGACATCCAAGTAAAGCTACTTTTTGCAATTAACCGATAGTGATTTTTATTATTATTACTAGGAATAAGGATTTAAAGTATGAATACTTCAACAACAAAAATTCTAATCCAGCATAAAGAAATAAAACAGGATTTTATTGTGATATTTTTGCCCCATTACCACTAAGTTATATCGGCCTCCTGGCACTATAATGACCTGAAAGATACCATTCTGCTATCTTAGTGTATACCTAGAAAAGCTTCTGCAGATCTCAGAACAGAAAGAAACAAGCAAGTATATATATTCAACCAAGCAGTTGTCCTGAACATGTTCCAATTATGATAACCAGTTACTTGTGATGGCATCAGAAGAGGTAGTGACTATGCAACCCTCATAGGTCGTACATCAGGAAAGCATCATTAGAGGAATCATCACTTGCCACCGAAAACTAATATAATTTGCAAATATGGTTGTCTTCTAAAAAATTATAACACGATCAATTTCCAAACAGATTAAAAACTAACCACAAGATTTGGGGGCAATCATATTTTGATTTTATAAATTTGCTTATGTATGCAGTACCTATGTGTTTCCCTTTTGCTTTCTACTTCATGTAAACCAATTAAAGCATGACAGGTTGTGGTTTCACCAACATTTTTTAAAACTTGGTTGCCAGTCTTGGTACAAATCAGCATATTAAATTAGCAATAGCAACTTCAGACTTATATACTGCCCCACAGTGCTTTACAGCTCTCTGGGCCGTTTACCATGTCAGCATCCAGTATTGCCTCCACCAAGCTGGGTCCTCATTTTACTGACCTCAGAAGGATGGAAGGCTGAATCAAACAAGCCTGTCAAGATCAAACTCCAGAATATGGGCAGTTTGCCTGCTGAATTGTAATCTAACCACTGGGGTGCCTATCCTTAACTATCATTATCAAAGCTAGTAATCACCGTTTCTAAATAAACTGTGGTTAAATAGATGTTTTCTGAATTAATTAGAACATGAGATATAAACAACTACAAGGACTTTGACTATTTGTGGACAAGTCTTTCTTCATGCCTGAGCTCATTAAACCAAGATATGATCAACCAAACTGAATTAATCCACTCAGATTCTATTTCTTTAGCTTTAAAACTTATTAGGAGTAAGCCAAGTGGCACTTAGATGTGTTAAATGGCCTTCTGACTGGTAACTTTTAACCAGCCTACTACTGCCTCTGTTCATTTGCCACTACACATCACCTGATCACAAAGATGCTGTATATTGCTTATATCTTCTTCTGACACTTCAGTCCCCATGGAGATCTCTGCAGCTGCTTTCACTTCTTCTTCCACCTCCTCCGGAAGGAGCTCAGACAGATCAGAAGAGGAAAAGTTTATTCTGTCTCCTAGGGAGTAAAAATATAAAGTAGGAATAAGGACAAACAGCAAACAGAAATTAAGAGTTCATCTAGCTATAGGTTTGTCATACCTAGATGAGCATGAAAAGGAAATTAAGGAGCAAATGGATGATTTTCATGTGTTTATGTCTAACAAGGAATTTCTACTTAGCAGGGTGGATTTGATTTAAACCGAGTTGATTTAAATCATGATTTAAATCACTAGTAAAAAGGCTTGATTTAAATCAACGATTTAAATCATAATTTTTAAAGCGCAACTGTCATCTCTGCTACTCCTTTGACCCACTGTTGACTCACCGATAGTCCCAGTGTTGCAGAATATACAGCCTCATGCTACATAACTAAGCTCCATTTCATGCTGAATAAACTAAATTATTTATGTATCTTAAATAGAAAACTATCTTACGATAGATTTTTACCCCAAAAGTTTTTTTATTAAAATAAATCCGATAAAAATCAAAAAAATCTGATTTAAATCAAAAAAATCTGATTTTTTTGAAAAAATCATTGATTTTTATCCATCCTGCTACTTAGTAATTTAGATAAGAATCTATAGTTAAGAACAACTTTTCAATATCTAGTCTTTTCATTTCATTCCGCATACAACTGCTAAATAGAGTATCACTATATGTAGTATTTTTCAATATTGAAGAAGTCGGCAGAATACAGAAAAGAGTTTTGTTGTTTATGTAAATAAGAAGACAAAGTTAGTAACCCAACTACATTCTTTAGCTGTTATAGCCTGGTCCTCACAGCTGATAGGAAAACTTGAATAACTTCAGAGATACTGAATAGGTCAGATTGTTCACCATTTGCAGTTTAAGCATTACTTACCAATTTTTTGTACACATTTACAGTATGCTAGATTATCTGTGATAATTTTGCCCAGTTCAGGAAAATGCCACCCATACCATTCTCTACAACGCATAATGTAGTTATTCAATTCTTTGTCCAAGTCATCAAGAAGAGCTGGAAAAGGCAAAATACGTGTTTCATTTAGTTCGGTTATATTTTGGAAATAAATGTTTTTGAAAATAGTATTAGTATCATGTAATGCCTCAATTATATTTATTTCTTGAACACTCCTGTGAAACATGGCAATTTAAAGTTATCAAAGGATTTCTGATATGTTTTACAAGAAGACACTTAGATATAAAAGGACATCTCTTCTAACATTGTAAGGTGCCCCAAAAATATCAGCCTGAGAAGATGGAAAAAAGCTACCATTCATATTTTTACCCCTCAATTCAATAACTATAATGGTATATCTTAATTTCTAGGATCCTTTTAAGTGAAGGCTAATTCTGTTTTCCTTCTAACATGAGAACATGCACAGCCATATTTAAAATGATCTCTTCAAGACATATCACATACTAGTAATTTTTTCTGTATTATCTTGGAAGGTCACCATGCTCTGGTTTCAAATACATGCCCACCATCCATACTGTTCATTAGGTACGGTCTATATAGCTTTAGAAGTTATTTTCAACTTCTTCAGAATCTCAACCTAATTAAAATAAAACTATGAATTAATGTCTGTAGTGTTTAACCAATTAATATGTAAAGAGCTTCCAAGAATGCAGAAATGTTTTAAAAGTTATGTAGTCTTATGCTGGAGCAACTTACAATCAAAAAAGTTTTCCAGTTATGTATGGTGTCTTATCTTATATAAATGGCTGCCTTGAGCATAAAGAATCTCTTTAATTATCTAGGACAGTGATGGCTAACCTTTTCTGGACCGAATGCCCAAAGCACTTTTGAACTTTTTTTGCATGATCACATCTGAAAAATTTTATTTTTTGCAACATTTCCAACATTTGTTGTTATGGCATCATATACTATCTATAAAACATTTAGTACCATAATTTCCCCCCAAATTATAGCTTGCAATAAATTTGATTTTTTCCATAGCTCTAGTGTTCTTCTGTGATTATGCCTTTGAGGTTTTCCTTCTACTTTCTCAAGCAATTTTAATTTGTTCCCTCTGCATATCATATTTCAATGCCAATCTCTATATGATGCTAATAAATGATCTTGGGGTTTTTTTTGTGTTTCAAATTCTGTCATCATTCTCAAAATCCCTCCTTTCTTGAGATCAAATTTTATTCTTCCAGTAATTTGTAATTACATCAACCATCAAGATGTTTTTGCTATGTTTTTTAGTCTTTAACCATTTATCCTTTGTCTTGCAATGCTACTAAGCAATTAGCATTGTGCTGTATCAGCCAAAATTGTTCATTTTATAGCTTGTTCAACCTTTAGGGTAAAGTCTTGCCATTATACATGGTATTTTCTGACAGATTTCTTAAAAGGCCGATGATATATCTTTAATTACACCACTTTAGGAATTGTGCTGTCTAAGATGCATTACAATATTAGGTCTATACTAAATCATACACTTAGCCAATTCTATAAAACTGACCCTATGTATTAAGCAAATCCCACAAATCTGAACTGAGGGTCTCATCATCAACCTGGTTTCCTTTTCATCTCAAAGACTCTGTCATCTTGATGTTGGCATTTGACCACATCATAAATTGGATATAGCAGGACTGTTAGGATTAACAAGAACAAAACCCAAATTCGCCAGTATCGTGCTAGGGAGTTTCATACTGATCCCAAACTTGCAGACCCTAATACTGTACATCAAAAGCATTTCACTTAAAAATGTACTTACATATTGCTTGGATAATCATTGTATCAACTTTGTCTGGGCTGAACTTCAATTTATATCGTGAGAGGCTAAAAATAAAACACGAAAGAAATAATTTTGTATACAAGCAGGTGACAACACTAATGAAAGTTTATTGAAAAATATTCATTATTAGCATTCCCTGTATTGGAAGCATCTATTTGTTAAAGGCATACTGCACAGCTATTAGTTAAAGAAAATATTTGTCTGGAACATGGGGAGAGATTCAAACCCAGGCACTCATATCCATGAAATGTCTTTGAATATTAGTAGCTCAGATCAGTAGTTATGTTATGGGTTTGAGCTCCGAGCATAGTAATTTGGTTGCAAATATTTTGTCTCCTTTTGAGGAGACAATCCAAAGCACACTGAAGATGTCTCCTCGAATGGGGATGGAACATTTGCATCCAAATTGCCAAGCTTGGAGCTCAAACCAACAACATAACTCATATCCATCTTTTAAAACTGTTGATGGGATTGTTTTTACTTTATGTGCTCACTACTTTGCAGAAAAACGTAAGTTTAGGTCATAATCAAACTTGGTATTTGCCACAGATTTTTTTGTTTCATCAAAAAGTAATCCACTCGACTTCCGGTTTGCTGCTTGTCCCCGCTGGATGCTCCTTCGGGATCGTCAAACCCACTGCCTGTAAGAGCCGCCTTTTTCAGCGGAATGGCGGCTCGAAAAAACTCCGTTTCCATTAGGAAACGGAGATAGAGCCGGCTGGGGTGGGTAGAGTCCTCTGCCTAATCCCAAAAGTTTTTTATTTACTTTTGGGAGGGAGCGGAAGAGACTCCTCGTATCCCCAGCCGATGCTCCGGGCTCTGGGAAATCTCTGCTACACGCAGAGCTAGGGGGCAGAAGCAAGCCTGTAAATCTGTCAAATAAATTAATTAAAGAAGATATGAGCTGGACCTCTGATCCTGAAGCGCAAGTATTTTTTTTATTCTATTTTGCCTAAGAAGTGAAGGGAAGGGAAAAAAGTTTTTTTAAAATGGCGATTGCTGCTGCGGCTTGAAGAGAGGCTGAAAGGGAAACTCCTTCCGTTTTCAATTACAAAGTAGCGGAATGAATACTTTTGGCTGTAACTGAAGGCAAAACCTCACTCTCACTTTTGTTTTTTTTTCCTTTTTTTTTCTTGGGGATCTGATATTGATCTTGGTTGGAAAAAAGTTTTTTTTTCTCTTTTCCAGTAAATTTTGTCTGCGTGGAAAAATGGCACTGAGACTTATAAAGCTAGACAAACAGGCAGTGGGGGGGGGGGATTCCCCCATTAATAAATTACATCAACAAGTTTTAACTCTCCAGTCTCAGAAACCTGACTTTAATATAATAGAATTTCTTCTTGAGGAGATTGTAAGAAGTGATGAGATTGTGAATCAGCAACTTGAAAAATTTAAGTTGGAAATCAAAGAAATTGGTGAATTGGTGAAATCTAAGTTTGGCTTTTTGGATCGAAAGATTTTAAAAACAGCTAATGGCTTAGCAGACTTTGTGATTCAGTTGGAAGCAAATACTAAATTATTAGAGTCTAAAATGAAAGAAACTGAGGAGAATTTGGATGACAAGATCCAAAAAATTAAAAAGGATTTGGCAAACACTCAGGATAATAGCTCAGAAGACAAACTTAAAATGGAGGCTGACCAAAAGACTGGTAATGAAGAAAATGTACAACAGAGGATTGAAAGAGAAGTTTTAATGATCCAACACAATTTTACAGAATATGCAATTAGACTGAGAGGTCTGCAGGAAAATGACAGAGATGATTTAAGGAAGATATCTTCTGAAATTCTGGCTGGGATTTTAAAGGTTCAACCTGATGAAGTGTTTTGCAGGATTGACAGAATTTATAGAATAAACTCCTGGTTGGCAAAACAAAGGCAATTGCCTAGAGATGTGGTGATTTATTTTATAGACAAAGAAATTAGAAATAATATTGTGCAGAATTCTTATGATTCTACTTTGCAATTTCGTGGAAGAAAGATTTGGATTTTTAAGGAACTCCCGCCCAAGATGTTAATGGAGAGGAAGAAATTTGGTTTTCTAGTGAATGAGTTAAAAAAAAGGAATATTTTATTTAGGTGGGACGTCCCAGTTGGTTTAATATTGAGACACCAAGGAGTAAGATACCAACTGAATACTGTCGAAAAAGCGGAAGAATTTTATCAAAAAATTTTAAAAATAAATTTAACATCTTTAGGCATAACACAGGACAAGCAAAAGGAGTTGGAAATAAAGGGAAAACATCAAATTACAGAGGCTGTGGTAGATAAACTGTCTTCGGACTCCTTGGATACCCCAGCTGGACTGTCTATAAATTTGAGAGTAGTGTCATCTGATTCTAATGTGATGAATTACCAAGTTACAGACAAGTGCGTAAATCAACCAGTTGATATACAAGTGATGGAAAAGACATATGAGATAATAAAACAAAACCAACAAGATCAATTTACAAAGCAGAATGACAACCGATCAGCTGATACACAACTTGTAGGAAGGAAATCTGGATGGAAATGCAACCCGAAAAAGAAAAAGAAAAGAAACAGATCTCGTAGAAATAGTAGTTTCTAAACCAAGCAACAGTGAAGCCAGGGATTTTAAAAAATAAATTAATATGTGAAAAGATATTGGAGGCGAATTATCGTTTAATACTATCTTGAGGAAAGTGGCAGATCTCTGCAATGCCGTGATTTTGGGATGTGGAAAGAGCCTTACATTGTTGGATTTGAACTATCTATTTTGGATTTCTTTTACCGATAAATATATTATAACTATTTTGAGTTACAAGGCAAGAGAGTCATGCTGGGGCATGCAGAAGATCTGGCTGTTACCCACTAAGATGATGGGAATTTATAATCCTGATGAAAACCACAATTACAACTATATGGAATATAATTATAATGTCACTCGGGTGGTTGTTTTTACTTTTATATATACATGAGGATATTCATTATTGATGGGGGCAGAAGATGACTGAAGATTTTGAATAAACTGTTGCACCAGGATGCTATGTCACCCTATTATGGATGATGGATTCAACAATCTAGTGGAAAGACATCAAAGAAGATACTAAATGAATTATAAATTTAAAGTTATTGTCTTTTCTCTTTTTATAAAATGGAATGTATATATAGACATATGTATATTTTAGCAGAGTGGGCAGTGGATTATATTTAGAATTATTTAGAATTGTAGTGTATGGTAATCTTGCAGGAAACTGGGTTGAAATAGGCTAGTTTAGTGATTGATTAGTTTAAGAAAAAGGATTTTTAAGTCATATATTTTGGGGAGTGGAAGAATTGGATAGAACTGAATAAATGTTAAATTTGGAGAAGGCTGCTTTGAAATGTTATATTAATATATATAAAAGATTAAAGGTTATGTTGTTGTAATAATAATATTTTATAAGTTTGGGGGAGGAGAAAAAGGGTAGATTATTGCGAAAAGCGGAGAAAAGCGGAGTTATAAGAATATTATGCTAAGGGTCAGTACTTTGAGGAGTGAGTAAGGGCATGGTAAAATATTATGTAATTAATTATGAATTAGCTTATTGTTGTGAAGAAGTCACAGGGGGGGATGGGTGGTGAGGGGGGGTTAGGGAAGAAGGGGGAAAGGGGGGAAAACTTGTATTTGAAAACTTTTTTAATAAAAAAAAAAAGTAGTCCACTCATTATACTGCGGAAATTAACTCTCAAAGAACTTTTTAATGTTCATTATTCTCTATACAGTTACCTGAAATTCAGTAACTTTTTCCCCAAAGCATGGGTTTGGAAGCATTAACAGAGTTGGAAGAGACCTTGTAGGTCATCTAGTCCAACCCCCCAAATACATACTCATGTACAGAAGTGAAACTTATATTCTACTTCATCTATGATAAGCCAATAGGTAAGATAGAAAGCTTTCCTTAATGTGACACCCTCCAAATGTGCCAAATGCTTTCATCATTTCCAGTCTGTGTTTAATTACTTAGGATTTATATCTAACCATTTTACTTGACATTCAAGGAATCCATAGCAATTAAAAATACAAATTACAAAATATAAAAATAAAAAAACTGAAATCAAGATAAAATTCTAAAATCAGTACCACTGAAGTCAAAATTCAATTAATGAAAGAAATTCTCCTAAGTGTCAGGAATAATGGGATGTTAAACATGCCTCCTTTTATCTACATTCCATGGGGGGGGGGAGAGTGGGAGGGAGAGGGAGACACAGAGAGAGAGAGCAAACTATGCAGGAGAAAGTCTTCTCCTGCATAACAAATAGACAAATTTCTGACAATAAAGGGGCCAGAAGGGCCTTTCCTGATCTAAATAAACTAGTAACAAAATCTTTCAGGTTCAGGGAGATGAGATTTTTGATTGTATCATACAACTTTCTCCCTTTAGAAAATGGGAAGACATCCCTCACTCCACAGAGTACACGGACCGCCTCTCATATCCATGAGGCTATCTTAATCAGTCTGAGACATACAGTAAGCCAGTAATGGCAACTTTCATCTCTTCATATATTAGTTCACATCCTTGGGTAATATTTGCTGAAAAGAATCCACATCAACATGGATACTTTCATCTGGAATCCAAATGATTAATCCAATTAATTACAATTATTCTGTGTAGGGGGTGATTTTGAGATCTAATATACCAGAGATACGCCCCCGGTTTCAAAAAGCTGATATAATCAAGAATGGGAAAACAATACCTGTGTGCCAGTCCTAAACACATAGCTGCCATCTCCCGGGATGGAAGGCCACTGATAAGTCCTTCTATTTGAGTGCGAATGCCCCTCATCAGCTCGGTAACCATTGGACTATGGATACAACTTAAGTTCAGTTTCTCCTGCAGAATTTCAAATTGTATCATTTTGATAAAAATGCACACAATATGGTCAAAGCTGCAAAAATATAAAAAATATAAGTTTGCCCAAGACTAATGGTCTACATTGTTGTATACTCCATACTTCTTCCCCAGACTATTTTTGCCCTCCAATCTAACTAGCCATGAAGGCCAATGGCAAAGGACTTATAAATGGCAATCCAGGTTGGTCTCCACTGTTTGTGTGTGTGCAGCTGCATATATACACACATATTCATACATGACGTAAGAATCAACAGGCCACGAACTTCCAGAAAAAATGGCACCATCAGTTCAAACAAGGACAAATCAGACAGATTGATATAAATATAAAATTTCATTTTTTTCCTTTTGTACAATGTTTATTAAATTAGAACCCTGCAGGTAAATGACTTGATTTTTTAAATTTAATTTTTATCTCTACATAGTGACATATACACACGTAGTTATGTAAGCCATAACTAATAGGATTGCAGAGAATCCTACTTAAATATGGTAAGATTTTAAGAGCTTGTCTTTCCCATGAGATCCTGCAGAAGAGGAATGTTGCACCTGTCATCAATCAAAGCGGGTCATCTAGTGGGACCCAGAAAGCCAGCCTTGTCGTGGGGCTATAATAATCATAGTTTCATTGGTTTCAAGATGCCAGTTTTTGCAGTTGGCCAGGGTTTTTTTTTTAACCATTATTAGCTGCCCAGAATAACTACGAATAACTGCCAGCTGTGATTTCAAATGCTCATTCCTGTTCTCTGCACAGGCCTTTGGAGAGGACAATCAATGTCTCTTTCTTCCTTTCTGTTCCCCTCTCGGTTTAATTTCCTTGTCATTAATATGCCTGTTTGTCTTAGGCTGTTTTTGTGGTTTTTATATAGTTTTTAAAACGTAAGAATCGTAAACCACCCAGAGTTGCTAGGAGTTGAGAGGCATATAAATTTAATAAATTAATTTATGGTGTGATGGGGCACCATCACACCATAATGCATATAGTGTGATATGCACTGAATAACTGAATAAATAATGAAATTATTACAGGCCCTTCGCACATGCCATTATTGGAATACCACTTAGCCGTTTCAATGTAGATATTAAGACTCACCCTGATTACACCTCCCAGTTTGGCATCTGCTACAGCTAGCTGTTCATGGGCATCTTTGGCTACTATTTTCTTTAAGATTTTCTTTAAATTTTTGCTGATTTTGCCTTCTACCAGTGCTGTGGATGCTTGAGGAGAAAACAAAAAGCTTTTAAAAATCTAGAATTTTCTAAAAGACCCAGCCAGAAAAATAAGCATGGAATAATAAGAGAATAATGCACCCATGTTATTAGTTTAGGTAATGAAATGTTTGCAAGAAAACAACCAAGTTCAGAAAGTACCAAGCATAGCTCACAAAACAGTTCATTTTCTCTGTTGTCTCAGTGGTAGTGACGAAATGTTGTATGCAATCACAGTGATTCAGTCCACTAACAATACATCATTGACAACAGAAATTAGTATGAAGCCTGCAGATTCAGTTCTCAGGCCTGTAATCTAGTTTTACTAAAATCTAGTTAATACTACACAAATTCCACTATACTGGATATATCTTATAACAATATTTTTTAAAAAAAAACATGATAAAGTCACACAGAAATAAAAGCAGTGAGCACAGAAAGGATAGTAAACATATAGTGTGCACTCGTTCTCTCAGCTGCTATCAAGCATCTTTACCCAGAACAAGATTAAATATATGGGACCTCAATCAAGGTCAATGCTACTAGGCACAAAAGAAGAAAAGGCTTTTTTTAACCAAGCCCTTTGTTTTTAAGTGGATTTTACCTCCCCGTACTGGTTAATGAAAAGTAAAATGTTATTTAAATAGAGATACAGTATTTTTCGGACTATAAGACACACCGAAATATAAAACGCACCTTAGTTTTTGGGGAAGAAAGCAAGAAAAAAGCTGATTGGAGTGGATCGGCCTCCTGGAATACCCCCAATCAGCTGTTCCCAGAGGTGAACTTTAGCAACAAGTTCATTGGCTGTGAGCTCTGTGCCTTGCTTTTTTTTTCAGCCTCTGAAATCTCCGTTTGAGAGGCTTTTTTTTCAGCCTCTTAAAGGGAGGTTTTAGAGGCTTTGCTCAGGGGCTACATTTGGACTATAAGACGCACCCAGATTTTCACCTCTTTTTGGGGGTAAAAAGGTGCATCTTATATTCTGAAAAATACGGTAATCTTATAAAAGTAAAGTTGCTCCTAACATCCATCTGTGCTTGGAGGTTGGAAAAGGGTAGCCATTTTATGTCACCCAATCTGGCTTCAGATACCATGAGACACTCTAGTTTAATTGGATTAACATCCATGGCATTAGATTGCAGAGGTACATTGTCTGCACTACAATCTTGGCCACGATTCAGTTTTGGATGATACCAAAGCATGATGACATTACAAATATGCTGTAGTAGCACCAACCCGACTAGATTATTCTCACCTTATCTAACTTGATGCTCTCCAAATATGCATTTTTGCTGGAGATAATGGAAATTATCCTCCAAAACGTCTTGAGGAAAACAAGTTGGAGAAGGCTGCTTTAAATGGTGAGAATGCTTTTGTTAATGGATTTTCTTGCATACATTATATTTATTGATGTGTTCAGGTGAAACTCGAAAAATTAGAAAGTTCATTTATTTCAGTAATGCAACTTAAAAGGTGAAACTAATATATGAGATAGACTCATTACATGCAAAGTGAGATAGTTCAAGCCTTGATTTGTCATAATTTTGATGATTATGGCTTTCAGCTCATGAAAACCCCAAATTCACAATCTCAGAAAATTAGAATATTACATGAAATCAATAAAACAAGGATTGTACATAGAACAATATCGGATCTCTGAAAAGTATTAGCATGCATATGTACTCAGTACTTGGTTTGGGCCCCTTTTGCATCAATTACTGCCTCAATGCGGCGTGGCATGGATGCTATCAGCCTGTGGCACTGCTGAAGTCTTATGGAAGACCAGGATGCTTCAATAGCGGCCTTCAGCTCTTCTGCATTGTTCGGTCTCATGTCTCTCATCTTTCTCTTGGCAATGCCCCATTCTCTATGGGGTTCAGGTCAGGTGAGTCTGCTGGCCAATCAAGCACAGTAATCCCATGGTCATTGAACCAGGTTTTGGTACTTTTGGCAGTGTGGGCAGGTGCCAAGTCCTGTTGGAAAATGAAGTCAGCATCCCCATAAAGCTCATCTGCGGAAGGAAGCATGAAGTGCTCCAAAATCTCCTGGTAGATGGCTACGTTGACCCTGGACTTAATGAAGGACAGTGGACCAACACCAGCAGATGACATGGCTCCCCAAATCAACACAGACTGTGGAAACTTCACACTGGACTTCAAGTATCTTGCAGTGTGTGCCTCTCCATTCTTCCTCTAGACTCTGGGTCCTTGGTTTCCAAATGAGATGCAAAAGTTGCTCTCATCAGAAAAGAAGACTTTGGACCACTGAGCAACAGACCAGTTCTTTTTTTCTTTAGCCCAGGTAAGATGCTTTTGACGTTGTTTGTTGTTCAGAAGCGGCTTGACAGGAGGAATACGACATTTGAAGCCCATGTCCAGGATCCGTCGGTGTGTGATGGCTCTTGATGCACTGACTCCAGCCTCAGTACACTCCTTGTGAAAGTCCCCAACACTTTTAAATGGCCTTTTCCTGACAATCCTCTCCAGGCTGCGGTCATCCCTGCTGCTCGTGCACCTTTTTCTTCCACACTTTTCCCTTCCACATAAATTTCTATTAATCCAACTTCTTTTGCAATTACCTTTTGAGGCTTTCCCTCCTTACGGAGGGTGTCAATGATGGTTTTCTGCACAACTGTCAGGTCAGCAGTCTTTCCCATGATTGTGATTCCTACTGAACCAGACTGAGAGAGCATTTAAAGGCACAGGAACCCTTTGCAGGTGTTATGGCTTACTTAGCTGATTAGAGTGGGATGCTTTGAGCCTAGAATATTGAACCTATTCACAATATTCTAGTTTTCTGAGATTGTGAATTTGGGGTTTTCATGAGCTGTAAGCCATAATCATCAAAATTATGACAAATCAAGGCTTGAATATCTCGCTTTGCATGTAATGAGTCTATCTCATATATTACTTTCACCTTTTAAGTTGCATTACTGAAATAAATGAACTTTTGCACAATATTCTAATTTTTCGAGTTTCACCTGTATACTAGCAAATGTGAAAATAGTTGAAAGTGCATGTCTACCTTTCAGAAATTTATTTGCAAAATTAGACATTTCCAAGGACATAAGTAAAGCTATACAAACTTGGCAAGAAAGAAAGGAAGGCAGGGTGGCAAAATGACTCAATACAGCATATGTTAAATGCTATTTCCAAGTCCAATTTAAAGCAGTAAATTTAATTCACAAAAAATTAAAACTTTATCCTCCTCACACCTAATCACTGATCACACTCATTAGAGCTGATAAGAATTGGAATCCAACATCCCAGATGCCAAGCACTTCTCCTACCTTAAGCAGCTTGCTGGTAAGCTAACTGAAGGGCCACCTCCTTCAAGTAAATCACTGTTTCTTCTACAACAGCTCTAGAAGGTCAACTTATGTATCCCTGAAAATTGCACTCAATGTCTGGAAACTAGTTTAAGATAATGCTATCCTTAAAAGTGATCAATAACCTTAATAGAAAAAGTATTACCTGCAAGAGCTTCTGTTGTGTCTTGAAACTTCTCAAAGTGTTTCAGTTTTACGCTAAATAAAAAACATCAAAATATTTTTGCAAAGATCATCAGGACCAGAGCAATTGCTCTCAATTATAAACATTTTTCAGGAAAGTCAAAAACTGATAAGCATGCAATCTCTGGCTTTTTTTTTTTTTTGGGGATTAATTAAAACTCCCAGTTCATCAGGTCAATATCTCCTATACGAAGAGGAAAGTATACTTTAAAAGATTTTGGTTCAGGTGTTAATTAACTTTTAGGCAAGTTAGCCACCCATCTAAGAATTATACGTAGTCCTCGCTTACCAACTGCCTTGGAGAACAACTGTTTGCCATTATGACAGTGAGGAAAAAATAACAGTGACCAATGCACAAACTTTGATTCATCTCTTCCTCAGTCCCATTTGCCATTACAGTCGGTTAGTATGAGTTGTCCAATGTAAAATGTAAGCAGTTGAAGTCACATGATTTTTCACTTAGTGACCACTTTGCTTAACAATGGAATTTTTGGTCCCAATTGTGATTGCTATAATGAGGATTACCTGTACAGCCTACTTTATAGAATATGTAACTATTACAAGTGTAATAGACACAAAATATAAAAACATTCTGCATACACATATTGTATACAAACATGAATTTTATAAAATTATAAGATACACTTAACTACCGGTAGTTCATTAATCAATTCTATTATTTCCTACTTATTCCTAACTAATCTGTGTTATATAAATCCTGTTCCACTTCAGCAAGCCTTCTTGTACAGATACCTAAGCCTAGTGGTCATTCAGATTTTTGCAACTCAGATCTGATAGTCCTAATTACCATAGTGCTACAGAATTAAACATAGCATAAACCTAACTCTTAGAATGAAATAGCTTTGCCACTCATTCCAAAAATTCTAAGTGGCTAAAAATGTCAACTTAGTTGTCAGATATTTTTTAGTCCTTTGGAAGAGTTTACAGGTGCAATAAAACAAAAATAGGGAAATACAAAAAGACAAAAACCACAAAACATCAAAAGATACAATGCCAAACGGCAAGGTATCATAACGCAAATTCCCATCAGAAAAACTCAGTGTTCACCATCTTCTGGAAGATGGCCAAGACATAATAACAACAAGTTGATTTATAGATGCTTTTTCTACCAATGAGAACATGACTTAAGTATTTATATCCTGTATTCAAGAATTTAAAGTAATTCCAGAAAACCCCATAGAAAAAAATCAAGACAGACAAAAAACAAGTGGCCATGCTCTTGAAATATTAGTTACAACTTCTTGAAGAACTTTACTTACACTTTATTAGCTTTTTCAGGTGTTTCAAACTCTTTCCATAAATTATCAATTTCTTGAAGCTTTTTCTCATCTATAACCTGTGGTAAAGATAAAGATTAATGAAATATATGCAATATTTGGCAACAAAATATCTGTCTTATTTGTCACTATGAGAAATTAAAAATGTGAAACTATACTCCAAGCTTTGAGGTTAAAAAACAACAACAGGTCTATTTTATGAACTGTATATCCATGCCACTTAACTTTTCCAATTTCAGTTAGAATATAGTCCAGGGGGAAGTTGTAAACCTTTTTACTAATGTTTATTTAGCTGGCTTAAATTTGGCTTCAAAATTGTGACTTTGAATAGCAGGATATGAAAATTCATATCTTTTTATTATAACCATCTAACCATGGTTATTCTATGAATAAAAAGATAAGAACTTTTATATCTTGCTATTCAAAGTCACAATTTTGGAGCCAAGTTTATGAATCAAGCCTAAAATTAAAGTCCATCAGTAGAGGCAGGACATAAACTGAATGAATACAATAACAGAGTGAGGTACTCCTGCCTCAGACAAGGGCTATTTTTTTGGGAGGGGGGAGGGAGTTCCTTCAAGCAGCTCTCTACAGAGAAATTAAATATTATCAAGAATGTCCATGGGAATTAAAAAGATGATTTAGATTCAGGTTTTTGCGAAATTATACAGGTAGTCCTCGACTTACAACCACAATTGAGCTGAGAATTTATGTTAAGTGAGAAACTTTTTAAGTGAGTTTTGCCCCATTTTACGACTTTTCTTGCCACAGTTGTTAAGTGAATCACTGCAGTTGATAAGTTGACCCAGGTGTCAAGTGAATCTAGTTCCCCCATTGACTTTGCTTGTCAGAAGGTTGCAAAAGAGGATTACATGACTCTAAAACGGTTATAAGTCACTTTTTCATTGCGGTTGTAACTTTGAACGGTCACTAAATGAACTGTTGTAAATCGAGGACTACCTGTAGTTTGTTAGTGAGTTTTCTCTTTCTTTGGAAGTAAGGAGCCAGCATACAAAACGTCAAGAGCCCTTCCCGGATTAAAAGCAAATGCCTTAAAAATATATAATTGCTTGTCCAGACAACCAATTGGATAAAGATAGAACCATGTTCATTGCAATTGTATGCCTCTAAGTTATGACAGCCTTTAATCACTAGGGGACTCATCTCACACTAAAACCAGAAATGCATTAAGTAGGAATGTTCCAAAACTTGCTTCTTCCCCATTTTTAACAATTTGTCCTCTCTCCTCCACCCACCCACCCACGGCAAAGGAGAAAAGATGATCCATCCACGAGCATAAAGTAGGCAGGACATCGCCAATCAATTTCGGGGACATTTCAAAATGGATTCGGAAAGCTTGAGAAAGCTGGTCATCTAAAAGGTTGGTCAACATTTCTTTCAAGTTGCTAGCCCAGTAGGAAAAGGGAAGTCATCCTTTACTGCGGGGGGGGGGATAACGCTATATAGCTCCTTCTGCCATTCAGCGCAGCAGAGGCGAAAACAAAACCTTCTGCTTTCGACTCCCGCCATCAACCAAAACTCCCCCCCCCAGCCAGGAACACGTGCTGCCCATCCTCACCTTGAAGATGGCGTACCCAGCCGCCGTCTCAAACAAAACCAGCATCGCTGCGGCGGGATCGAGAGCGGGGAGCGCAGCTGCTCCCCGGGAAAAGGCGAGGGGATTATGCGCGTGGCAAAAGAAACGAGGGCGAACGGACCACGCGCCGCAGGAGCGGAAGTCTCTGCCTCGCTTCACCCGGAAGTGCTTTTGATGGCCTGCCGGGAAGACGGAACGGAGCAGAGGGCGGGGGAAAGGAGCGAACGTTTCGATTTTTTTTTTTATTTTTATTTTTGGAAACAGCGGAGCTCGCTACTTGATTTCGTCCCGTAATTGTTTATGCGATCTAAGGGGGCGGGGGATCCTTTTAATTCCTAGGCTTTTCTAGGTTTCAGTAAAACTCGTTTGGGGGATTTTTCGTCTGCGTTTCTGTATATTTTAAATCTGGACCCAAAGTAAATATTGTAAAGTGTATATAAATTGACCAAGATGTCAATATTTGCTTCTTAACAAAACGTTCATTTTTCGACAGCTAAGCTTCCATACACAGCAATAATACATCGCAACGTTAAATACATTGATTATCTTTATGATAAATGAATGTCTTTGCATAAGTTTGACACAAAAAAGCTTAAGAAAAATATGCTTGGACACAGACCTTAGAATCAGACCTAAACAAATATAATAAAGCCTGCACCCTCGGTAATTAGCTTGGAATAGCGTCTATTTAAAATTATTATGCAATTTAGAAGATAAAAATGCTGTGTTAAACCTGAAAATGATGTAAAACCTAATGATTTGATACCGTAGGTTTTTTGCATCATTCTTGCAAAGGTGTTAAATAATCAAAATAACTGACCCCAGACCACGTTGGTGTAGAGATATGAAAAATGACAGATATATTGACACTGATAATATGGAAAATAAAAATCATTTTTTAAATTTTTTGTTGCTTTTCAAATTACACAAAATAGGAACAAAATACAAAAATACATTATCAAAAATATACATAACATGCTTAAAATAAGTGAAAAAAGGCAACAGAAAAATAAGAGTATAGTTTACATTCAAAGTTACAATTCTATTTATATATTTTATTAGATGTTTTTATATCTGCCTTTATTACTTTATATTTTTATAACTCGTTACTTATAAAAGTTACTTATAACCTTGAGTTACATATTACATATGTGATATTCCTTCCTTCTCCTGTTTTTCTCATTACAACCCTGTGAGGTGAATTGGCTGAGAGAAAATGATTGGCCCAAAGTCACCCAGCCAGCAGCACTAGAACTCATGGTCTCCTGTTTTCTAGCCCGATACCTTAATCATTAGACCAAACTAGCTGTTCTGGTCTCAATTGTGATTGCAAGTCCAGGACTACTTGTAGACACACTAGATCTGTAGATGGTATTTGCTTAATCAGTTGATCTCTGCATTTTTCCTCTTTGGTGCAAACCTACAAATTGAAGAACACAGTGATTTGCTCCACATCTCTTTTCTGCAATTCCTGCTGCTCAACTCCCCAGATTATTAGCTTGACATGATAAAATTAGGATTTTAGAAAAGTCCAACTACGTGACATTGAAATAGCAAGCTTTCATATTTCAGCTGTATAAATTGAGGGGGATGGGAAAAGAAAGTAGAACATGCCATTAAAGTTCGAAATCTGCAGCTGTGTTGGCACCTAGATGGTTCAGCGCAGCAGCCAATCATGCTTTTTCATAACCCTAACCCTAACATAGTCTCCGAGGTAATATATCTTCGGCTTGGAAGTCGTGTCAAATACCAAGAGAAAAGGGGGCTCTAGTTGTTGCTTAGCAGCACCTATCCATGCCAAACTAGCAGACATGCAAGCTGTGGTAACATTATCTGAGACAGGCTGCGTTGCTCCATATTTTTTTCGGGTTTGCATATTAATATATGCAAATATCACAATACAATTCGTGTCTTTTTTTGCAACTCATGTTTTGTCAATGAACACTCTTATCATCTGCCGTCCAATCCATGTGGGTTGCATCACCCCTCTTTTGTGACCTGGTTATGGTTGAAATATAGGTAGATGGTTCCACATCGAAGCCCGCGTAGCCGCCACCTCTCTCTACCTGGGCACAAGATGGAGGAAAAAGTAAATCAGTGGCTGATCTTTTTCAGCAAAGTTGGAAAATACGCCGCTTTCCGTCTTCCAACCTCGCTACCATTAGGAAGGACAGCGTGCAACCTCGGAGGAAAGAGATGAGCGATGCAACGCGGAAAGGCTGCAAGGCGTAACCACCCCTCTGCTCCTAGGAGGCCGTGCGCAAAGCCGGAGCAGCAACTAAGTTGCGACTGTCGTGAACGCTGCAAAGACCGGGCTGCGAGCGGCTCTGGAACTCGCGCAAAACTGTCCGCGGAGTCCCTGGGCGGGGGCGGAGCAGAGTTGCACTGCGCTTCTTCGGTGGGCTGTGCCTGGAGAGCGGGAAGTGAGCTCAGGCGCAGAGGAAATCCCGCCTGCCCGCGCCCGGCCTGTGTGTTGTGCTCTCCGTGTTGGCGACGCCGAGAGCGAGATCGGCGAGGCGCTTCTCCGGGGGTGGCGGAGGGGCCGGCTGCGTCTGCGAGGGAGACATGTCGGATCAGGTGGGAGGCTCGCGCTGGGCAGGAAGCAGCTCGCAGTCGGCCGCCCCAACCGCCCCGCTGAAAGGCGCCCGGGCAGCCCGCAGGCGGCCAGATGGGGCCACAAGAAGCCGGGTCCCCTCGGCCGGAGGGGCTTACAGGCATGGGACACCCCGCTCCCCTCGGCGAACCTAGGCCGGCTTGGCCTCTCCGCATCCGTTTCGTGCCCCGCGTTTAGCCTTCCTAACGTGCTTCCGGGCCATGAAAATAGAATCGCCCCGATCCCCCCGCGGTAGAGATCGGAGTTGGCTCCTATGTAGGAAGCCCATCGGGAGAAATAACAAAAGGCCAAAGTTTCTGTTTGGGCTCCTTTTTGTCTCTTTCCCCCCTCCGCGACCCCGCTTCTCGTTCGATGCGGCTTTCATTCCAGTCTTGACTTTCAGAAAAGGGGGCGAAATTTCTTTAGAAACGACCACGATGATCGTAAAGGAATCATTGTTGTGAGATGTTCTGCAAGGCTGCTGCTTGCACCGGGAACATCAAGACTTGTTCACCCGACCTGACATTTCCTGTTTCGTTTACTCGAAGCATGTTTTGGCAGGGTAGCCTTTTTTTAATTGCATAAATTTTGACATTAGTTGAACAAAAATCACACTAGAACAAAGATACGGCAGCATAGCCTTTTTGTTGCATTTGTATGGCATACTAGAAGAGAAATCCATGCAGTGGCCAGACGGAGTAAAAACCGCTCTCTTTAGCCATTAATTCAAACGGAATTAGAAATTAAATGTAATGGCCCAGTTTTATCATTGGACTGTCTTAATAATATTAGCTTATACCTATTATGAGTCTTTGCTTCATGGGGCCCTTTTCAGCCAGTGTGAGCAGGAATTTACAAAAGGTTGCTTTCAGTTTCACTTCCATGCAATTAATTGAGGATTGTGGATTATTTTAAGAACAATATAGTGGCAAGGTCAATTGGTAATCTGTGTTTTAAAATTGTCTTGCTTCAGGAAATAGTAATTGGAAAGTGTTAAATATAGTAGGGCAAACTTCCAGTCTCCTTGCAAGCAAATGGAGATTCAACATGGACCCAGGGCTCATTCATATAATGCTATCATAAAGTGTTATATTTGAGCAGTTGGACTGTTTTATGAATTTGCATAGGGAATCCCTATCTTTTAAAGTGGGGAAGAAATTGGGCTGTTAATTTTTTTAAAAAAACTATTGTCTCTAAATATTTAAATCAGTGATGATATTACCCCAGTGCCATGTTAGTCGGTAATCCTGCATTTCAGATTTTCTTCAGTATCAAAAGGAAATAGTACTGGTTATATTTTTATGCTGCTGCTGCTGCTGCTGCTGCTGCTGCTGCTGCTGCTGCTGATTATTATTATTATTATTATTATTATTATTATTATTATTATTATTATGCTTTGCATAACTTTGTTAATTTACATTCATAGTCAAAGAAAAAGGCACCAAATACTGTCCTCACATGTTTTCTATAGGGTTCCAGAGCACTAAATACTAGAGAACCTTGAAGTCAGTTAAGATTTAGAACTGCCCTGTCCCATGATTTCATTGAAGTATTTCATGGAATTTTTTTTAGTTAGAACTTACAAGTTTCAGAATATATACTAAATAGGAATGAAATTGAATCAGTAAGAAGACCGTTAAAAGCAATGTAAATAAATATCCTGTTCTGGTACTTTCTGAACTACGGTATATAAAATTGAAACTTAGAGGTCAAACTCTCCTCTTCAGAGAAGCAAAAGGAGATTTACATTTAATTAGGCACTACCAATAGATTGTTTTCCCTGTGAATAAGTAGACTAGGTTCATTTTATGTATTTACTGTATTTTTAGGTACTTGCACATTGTCTGCATCTAGATTGTGACTAACAGAAGCCTCTTATTCACTATTCATTGCAAAATAAGCTGTAATTTAACTATGTTCTGAAGTGAAGAAAGGCTAAGCTTGTTTATTTCTAGCTATATTTTATCTTGTGATTTGAATTAAAGGAGCAAATACAAGTAGTCCTTCACTTATGACCACAATTGAGCCCAAAATTTCTGTTGCTAAGCAAGGCAGTTAAGCAATTTGTGCCTCATTTTATTACCTTTTTTGCCATACTTGTTAAGCAAATCACTCCAGTTGTTAAATGAATCATGCGGTCATTAAGAGGAACCTGACTTCCCCCACTGATTTTGCTTGTGGAAGCTGGCTGGGAAGGTTATCAATTGTGATCACATGACACCAGGTCAGTGCAACTGTCATAAATACATGCCAGTTGCCAAACACCTAAATTTTGATCACATAACTATAGGGATGCTGCAAAGGTTGTAGCTATTGACAACTGGTCATAACTCACTTTGACCTCAACTTACAACAATTCATTTAGTGACTGTTCAAAGTTAATACAGCACTGAAAACAGAGACTTAAGACTTTTTCACAATACTGTTGCAACAACCCTATGGTCACAAGATCAAAATTCAGATGCTTGGCAAATAGTTCATATTTATGACAGTTACACTGTTCCGAGGTCATGTGATCACCTTTGTCACCTTTTGACAAGCAAAATCTATGGATAA